TTTGTTTAAAAAAAATAAAAATATAATAATAATAATAATAATATAAAAAATAAAATATATACATACACATACATAAACACACTTGGTTAATTCTGTTTTGTAATATATTTTTAAGATAATACATAATCTATTTCTGTTTTATGCTACTATAAAAAAAGTGTGAAATGTTATTAGTTTAAATATGAATGGCTCAAAATACAGTAAATGTTTTACATAATTTTTTAAACTCAAACAATAATTAACCAGCCTCACGTTGCGAAGGTTATAAATGTAATAATAAGATTGCTTCTTGAGCAATCGTTCGAGAATGCTTATGCATGGTATAATTTTAGTTTGTTGGTTTTCTCTTTCAAACTGTGTCAGCCAGTATAAATTTAGCGGTTTAATTTCACTTATTTAGTAAATCTATGAAATTACAAAACTTCTCCCTTGTTTTATATTCTAACTTACCACTACTCTATTCCCTTCACTAGGATGTAAGTGCTCAAAACACGCCACTGTTCTCTACAGAGCCGAGCCCTGAACAAAGCAAAAAGGTCTTGGTAAGAATTTTTAATAAAACTCTGTTTGCCTTGATGTAATGTGTTTGTGAATTGTTCAGACCCATTGGACCATATACAGCTCAACGGTTTACTTTGCTTTTTCTTACAGAATTCCAGCCATTCTGATCTGGAGCAGCAACATCCGGATTTGGAAAGCACAGAATTCCCTAATAATGGCATTGGTGAGTAATGGACATATGCTCAAACTATAACCACTGAAAGAAAACCATTGTGTGTTTGTTTGTTTTTTTTTTTTTATACACTGCAAAAACATATTCAGCATGAATTGTGTTATTCTAAAAGTACATTGCCGCAAATAAATGCAACTGATTTATCATATATTTTTATATCAGCCTATAGTATATCAGAGGTTTGTCACATTCTTATTTTTAGTCTTTACAGCATAGTTTACCTTTTTACATAAATTCTCATTAATGTCAAACGAAAAACAAAACAATCTTAGGCCTAATTATTTTATTGACTTTTTTTTAAAATTCTATATAACTGCATCCCACAGATACATTTTGTCAGTTTCACATGTTAAAACACACAAAATGTCATTGCTTTGAGGATACCGATTCATTCGTCGTTAGAACATAGTAGACGCGGATATTAACTTGCAGACATTCTGTTTTTACAGTGGTCCCCTTCCAGGTACAGAGTCGGATAAGGACTCCGTCTAGCGAGGTGGATGGGGTAGCCCTGAATCACTGGAGCGATGGTAAGTGAACACACCTACCATTTATCACATATTTAATAACTATGCCATGTGTTGCGTTTCCTTTGTAGCACATGCATCAATGATTTCTTAGGCTTGGGTAGAATTCGGTCCCGTTTTCTATTTTTGTGTGTGTATGTTTGAGCTATGCTGTCCAATTTTAAAAAATAAATAAATTCTCATTGGGTGGTCCAGACTTATGAGCTGTCCATCTATGCCCCCAATAGAGTTCATGGCACCTCATCAACAATAAGTATGTAGATATGACATGTATTCTATTTAGAAATATGCATAGAATTTTCGAACATTGTAATATTCTAGAATTAAATTTAGGCACAGAACATAGACATTAGATACGCTTAAGAGTAGCAAATATGAATACAGGAATTTTTATGTACTTTTTGCTCTCAGGAGACCTTTGTAAGGAGAAGCCAACTCTAGATTCATCTAATCGCACACGGTGGACGGAACCAGGCACTGTCAACTTTCTACTTATTATTTACATGCTGCTGTAAGTCACTTATAATTTTTTTCCATCGAGGGGGGAGTATGATGTCATATAAAGGGCAAGGCTAGGTAATATTTTGTGTAAAGTGGTCAATCTACTATGAAAACTGTTAGAAATAGAAAGAAGAATGCAGGTTACAGAAATAATAGACTAATGCTCACTTTAGAGTAAAGAGCAGGGGAAGTTATGTTCATGGGACTGTTCTGCTCCAAGGATTGTTCTTACACCATCACAATTAACACTTCTCCCCTTTAACACCTAAAACACATCACGTCTTGCCTATTTTTCTGTTCTCACCCTGAAATAGGCCTTAATTTGTCAATGTTCTCCCCTATTAGGGTCATCGTACTGCTGGTCTCATCAGGTTATATAGGATTACGCATTATGGAGCTGGAAAATCAGCTGAGCATCATGGGAGCCTGGCCAAAAGGACAAGAACACAGGTATTGTGAGAGTGTGTGTGGTTGAGTGGCCATTTACTGTAGTGCAAGTTTGTGTGTGTAATATTTGCCAACATACCCAAGGTACTTGACATCAAACTGGTCATAGAGAAATAAAAAGACACAATTTCAGGGACATTGTGATATGTTTGTATATATATTAAATTTAGATATCTACACACTCCACCACCCTCATATCAGTGACTGCTAAATGTGGTACCTTATTTGTTTACTTTAATTACACTAACTACAAAAGGCAGTCAGAAAGCTATCGCAGCTTATTGCTCTGTTCCACATTTGAATTTTATTTTATTTATTTTTTATTTTTTACTGTTCCCGTTTTGTGTCTGTAATTACAAAACTATGTGCCTATTCACTGGCTGGCTATAAATTCACGAATTTAGTGATTTTGTATACATTTCATTAATATTCACCTTTTTTTTTTTTCTTTATCTTTGTAACTATTCAGTGAGTCACATCCTTTTTGGCTATAGTCTAACTGGAATATACACAGTGATCATGAGTCAGATGGCTTACTTAACATTCCTGTTTTTCCACATACTGAAAATTCCACGGCGTCAAAGGTTGTCCTAGATGTATGCAGAGGGAAACAAACCCTCAGAGAATGCAGCCCAGTACCTGTAGATAATGACAGGGTGGGCACTTTTCATATATTATTATTTATATAGCGCCATCAGATTCCGTAACGCTGTACAATGGGTGGACTAACAGACATGTAATTGTAACCATATATAGACATGTGTACGCGTTATTTGGATTACATTGTATTTTTGTTGAGTTTGTTTAAACTATTCTCCAATCCACAGGTCTCAGGACACTTGAAGCGAACGCAGAAACTGTAGCTTGTCACACTTATATTGAAATAAGTAGTGGGGGAAAAAAAGGTGACTTAACCACATCGAGAGGAGAACTACAGTGACCCATTTAGTTCTCCAGTTTACAGGAATACTCCATCAGGACACAAAAGAATGTTTGCTGAATTCAAGAGACTCCGAAAAACTTTGCACTTTATATTTTATGGCACCAAAATAATCAGAACAGGGTTTCTGAATAGGGGACCAGATCATGTGGAGTTAAAAGCGATGTGATGCAGAGTACCAGGGCCAGTTTGCCTCCCGAAGCTTACTGTCCATGGAATAGATTTACTCTCCGAATCGAAATAGAGAGACTCCAAAGCAGGATCTTGAATGTCATGGAAAGACGGCAGGAGTCATTTTGTTCAAATGATCTGTTGGAAGATATTTGGCCTCCGGTAAAGAAGATAATCGGAACTTTGCTAAATAAACTGTTCTCTACAGTTTTGACCGCTAGTAAATTTACATTATTGGGAGATCGTTGGCATTGAGAGTGTTCTCAGTAATGGTTGCTGCTTTTAAAAAAACAAGTTTCCTTAACTTTCAATATGTGGAGATAAAGATGGGGTATGAGAATGAACAAAGAGACCTTTATGAAAAGAATGGGCCGAAAAAAATTACGTTGAATAAGGGATATTCCAGCTGGTCTGAAAATGACAAACGAGCCTGTTTGCCCGTTTCATACCTCAAAGACTTCAAACACTTCACTCAGCCAGAGAAATGCATCTCTTTTTTTGATCCAGCAAATTTCTTATTTAGTATTTATCGGGACTGATATGCAGGCAATCAAAGGTTTATTGTGCTTTTTAATATAAATTGATTTATACATATATGTAAGAAACAGATTTTTACACAGATTATTTATGTATGTTGTGGTGTATTATTTTCTATAAAACTGAATTTTTCTGGATATTTTTATACTTGTGTTGGAGTTGGATAAACCCCCCCCCCCTGTTGTCTTGAAATGCGTTTGCCTAGATCGGATCTTGTAATATTCTTAACGGCGAGGAAAGGAATGACATTTGGCAGTTGGCATTCCAGAAACCCTTTTGAAGTTCAACATTCACTAAAGAATAATTTTAACTAAACTAGACGAATAATGTCATGATTTTAGAAAAACAAAAGATATGATTCAAAAGCAGTTATACACCATGTATGACCATGGATGGATATTTACTGTGTTAAAAACCTAAAATGCTTACATTGACCAGAGGCAAAAAAAAAAAAAAAAAAGGTAATTGTACAAAAAGTATTCTTAGCAACTGCTGCACCATCATGCGCCTATACTAGAGAGTGAGGCTAGAGGGATATGTGGATATAGATCTGTTTTCTCATGTTCGACACTAGGGTGAAATTTAAAAGGACCCAAAAACTGTAGCTTAATGAAGATTTTTAAGTGTATAGATCGTGCCCCTGCTGTCTCACTGATCAAATATCTACCATTTAGGAGTTAAATCACTTTGTTTATTCAGCCCAAGCCACACCTCCCTGCATGAGACTTGCACAGCCTTCCTAAACACTTCCTGTAAAGTAATCTAGATATTTTATTTTACTGTATTTCTTATCTCCTGCTCTGTTAATAGCTTGCTAGACCCTGTAGAAGCCTTCTGTGTGTGATTACAGTTCAATTTACTGAGCAGGAGACAGAAATGTCTAAAGCAAATGAATATCTGATTGAAAACGAAACAATTTTGTTTTCATTCAGGCTGGGTCCCTCAGTTACTGTATACATACACACACATAGACACGGATGGGCAGATACACACAGACATGCACGGGTACACAAGGCGCAAGCATATACACAAACACATTCATGTCTCCCAACCATCCCAATATTGAGGTCCTGTCCTGCCTTCGTTCCCTACTGCTGCTTTACCTCCCTACACCGGCGTCCTGTTTGTCAAGATGCCGGAGTTGGGAGGTATGCACATAAGAACTCATGGACAGGTGCACATGCAGACAGACAGGCACAAACAGGAACACTGGTACAAACAGGTATATGCATACGCAGACAGACATAACCTATTAATCTCCCACAAATCGTACAAAGGAAATACTGTGTCCACGCAGAATCCCCTGTTTAAGCTACTGGCTAGACATAGATCTTTAAAATCCTATGCAAACACTGACGTCTGCAGGAAATTCACACTCTAAGTAAGGGACCAGGCATGCCTCTTGCTGGAAACGGGAGGGTCTAGGGAGACTATTTATGGAGGTCTACTGATGGCAACTTACAAAAATGATATAAATATGAAGTTAGTATTTAAAACTCTAAATAAACAACAATACAGAGGCCAGGGGTGATTTCTGACCTCTGCTAAAAGCATGGATCAGTTAAAAAACAAAAAAACAATCCATTATATAATAGGGATGGACTGAAAGCAATCTGGGCCCCTAGGGAAAAAATTGGGATCTAGGCCTTTGAAGGCTAGTACACAGGCATTCAAATGTGCATCCCATGTTGTCTACCCTATTCATGCAATAGTTTCATTCAATTAAAAAAGGCTTGAATGAAAATGTTACAAAAGCCAACAGAATTGTGATTTACAGCACTTTCTGTATAATTCTCATTCATTTTTGTCTTTTAAATTTTTTTATCCTCCATGTAGCTCATGGTGACTGTGGCACATGTACACTGACACATCTATGAAGGATTATGTTAAAATGCAGACTTGTAAAATGTGTGTGTGTGTTCGTGTTCCCAAAGAGTATTTGGGAAAGCACAAGGAGGGAGTACAACTTTTACCTGTAAGGTTTTGAGCAATTCGTGGACATATATCTGTAGCAATTTTTGCATATCACTGTAAAGATAAAACGAAAGGCAGAGACAATTGGGGTAATGTATAAAAAGTCTATTGCCCTGAAAAGTGTTCGAACTGCTAGAAGTGTCGCCATAGAATCACTATAGAAACCAGAGGAACCGGCAGGTTTCCAAACAGACACTTTTTGTACATTATATCCAGCGTCTCCTTGCAGCCAGACGTTTTTCAAGGATCACAGCTCGTTGCTTGCAGTATTAACAGTGTTAAACCTCCCAGAAGTGACGAAACTAATGTAGAGAGGGCCCTGGTGCAATAATTTGTTTTTGCACCTTACCTGCGCAAGGTTGGTCAAAATGTAGATTCCCATCTATTGTACATGTAACACAGAATCTACAATTTGACCATCCTTGCAGGATTTTAATTGTGGTCAGTTCTTGTGTGTTTGAATGTGTTTCTCAATCTTACGTTGTGCGTAATGTTTGCATTTGAATGCTGTTGTTTGTATGTACTGTTGCCACTTAAAAGCAGGCATACTTGTGTGTAGTGGGTTGGAATGCAGGGGTGTGTTTGAATGAAGCAGTGTATTTGTGTGTAGTTTTGGTGTTTAAATGTGTGTGTGTGTGAATGTGTATATACACAATGTTGGCGTTTTTAATACAAAGGTATTTTTGTATGTAGTGTTGGCGTTTTTATTGCATGTAGTGTTAGCGTTTGTAGGGGTGTGTTTATATGTAGAGTTTGAATTTAAATGCTGAGATGTATGCACACATTACACATATGCAGCTACACACTGACACACACAGATAAACATACACGTTGACACTCACATACCCACACTGACACACATATAGATACACAGATTAAAATTTACATTTATTTATTTTTAGCCACCCACCTGCTTTCATATCTTTTGGTCTTTTGGATGCAGATGGGTGATTTCCTGGCCTGGCTGAGAATGATGGAAGTCCGAGGATGCCTGCAGTGCTCTCCCTCCTCCCCTCTGTGTACCTTATTCATCCACACAGCCTCACTGGGAGTGCTGAGTGCTCACAATAAAGGGACCTAGTCGTGCTGTCTTTTGGGTTTGCCCTAAATGCCTTTACGTTATAATCCACTTCATTTATTGGTTTACGGAGACGCAAGGCACAAACGAATTCAATGATAAAAAGTTAAATGATGAAACGGCAATAGAAATGCCTATGTAATTTTATTTACAAGTTTTTTGTTTTTTTTTAATTGTGTTAGTCTTACAAGATTATTAAAGGGACACTATAGGCACCCAGACCACTTTAGCTCATTGAAGTGGTCTGGGTGTACTGTTCCAGGTCCCTTAAACCTGCAATGGTAATTATTACAGTTATTCACGAAACTGCAATAATTACCTTTTAAGGGTTAACTGCACCTCTAGTGGCTTTTAGGGGACTTTGGTTGCCTAATTTACGCTGGACGTTCTCACGCTTTGCATGGGGACGTCCAGCGTCACCCAAATCTCCATAGGAAAGCATTGCATAATGCTTTCCTATGGAGAAATCCTAATGTGAGCGCAGCAGGTCGCCCCCCGCAAGCTGACCAGAGAGGGAGGAGCAAAGGCGGACCTTGAGCCAACGCCGCAGGACATTTTTTTAACCCCTTCTGGTTATAGTGCCAGGAAAACCACGTTTGTATTCCTGGCACTATAGTTTCCCTTTCAATAATGAAGTTACAATCACTAAAAATAGAAGTAATTTTTTTAAAGCTTATTTTAAATGAGTTATGCTTCAATCAATTTGAAAAGGTCACTTACACAACCCAACTGTGGCTGTGCATCTATTACATGTGATGGTGTTTGCGCATGCACATGGTTACAGTTGAGCGAGATAAGTTGTGATCACACAGCGAGCTGTATGAACCTGATGAGAGTTGGATATACGAGATTGCATTTGTGATCACGTGTGTGTGGGTTCATGTGCTTTCGTTACTTTTGAATGCTGCATGTATGTGACAAGAAGTGTGCATATTGTTTTTATATATCTATATATTTTTTTTTTCTCTGGTTTCATCCAAACCTTTCTTATTGCTTACTTTTGCTTACTTTTAGGTAAAAGGGTATGTGATCCCCTGTGGAGGGAGCTTTTGGTTGGAAAAACTGATACGTGCAAATCACTTGGTTCTCAATCCAGTCCTGCACACATACACATAGATAGCGCTGAGCAGGTAACCCAGTACCAGTCCTCTGATTGTCTAGGAAGTGCAAGATCTCAAGATAGCATTGACCACAAGTGAAAAATAGTTTTCACTTTTTTTGTTTACTTGTTTTATTTAGAACTATAAGAGGAGGTTCTGGCTTTCGGCAGCACTTTTTCAGGGTTACACTTGTTTATATTTTGCAGCCTCATTTTTAACGTGATATAACAAAGAAACCAGTATACTATTCCCATATGCTAGGGAAGCATGTTTAATATCATAACAATAACAGGGCATTCAGTGAAGGGAGTCACGATCCACTTTTCTACCTCTGTGAACAGGTCTTGGAGCACAGCCGCAAGCTGCGGTAAATTTGGTTTGTTGGAGTAGATGACGATGTTGTCTGCGTGCATGTGTACAGTTGAGGCTTTACAGACATTTATGAATAATGTGAATAGAAGGGGGCTGAGTATGGAGCCTTGGGGAACACCACATGTGACCGGGAGAGGGAGGCAGGCAGGCACGGTCAGAAATGCAGACATATTGTGATCAATCCAATACATACAACTGAAACCAAGTTAGCGGATGATCACCAATACCAGCGTTTTCATGATTTAGCAATAGAATGGCATGGTCCATTGTGTCAAAAGCCTTGGCAAAATCAAGGAAAATGACTCCAGTTAGGTCTAGTGTTCCATGCCAGTTTGGATGTCATTGCAAACGTTTAAGAGGACAGTTGTTGTTGAGTGATTTGGATGAAAGCATAATTGATCAGGGGTTAGATAGTTAGACAGATAGGTCTGTTGTAGCAATAAGTTCACCTAAGTCACTTTACTGCTGCACCAGCACTCCGTTATTGCTACATGTATTGTGAACTTTATTTAGAGACATATTTTGTATTTTTACTTTTTAAAGCTTTGGCTTTATTTCATTTTTGCTATGCTAGTTGCTGCTATTTATAGTATTTCGATTTTTAATTCTATTTTAATTATTATTCTCTAAATATCTGCTGCTAGCAACTCTAGTTGACCTTGACTACCATCACTACTATGCTCTCTATTCAAGGATTAGTGGACCCTGACCCGGTCTGAGCAACATTTAATTGTCATTTACCGACTCCCTCCACTTTACAGGGGGCCCATATAATGATACATTCTTCGTTTGTGTCTCTGGGAAGTGCGCAGGTAACTTTTTTTCTCTCTTTTTCATCGACGCAACAAATTTATCAATTGTTCTGCAAATATTCAGACAGCTAAGTCTTTTTTTTTTTTCCCCGCCACTATTCATTTGGTGATTATTTTTTTTTTTAAATCAAAATTTCTAGAAAACTGGCAGAATTTACTATAAAGAAAACTGTCACTTTTTTTAGATCACTTTATTAAAAACAATTAAAATGATAGGATGTTACTGTCACTTTTCGGAACACTTTGATAAGTATGTATGCTAGCAGCACATAGTGTGCCTGGGTTTTCAGTGATAGACAAATTTGTAATCTAGATCAATGTGTGCTAGGAAAAGAATGCTTGTATAAATATGTTTTGCCTCCATAAAAGAATAAAAGCTACTATCCTTTTTATTTCATATAGACTGGGTGAAACATTGTCAAATAAAAGTGCATTACTAAAAAAACAAACAAACAAAAAAAAAAAAATATATAACACATTAGATAGAAGAATCTTAAAACAACCATCCTCCACAGTAAAAGCTACTCACAAGCTTAACCAGCCAAAACACTTGGAGAAGAGCATATTTACTTATGTTGTGTTTATTTTGTTGTTTCTCTTTTTATGATTGGCATGCAAGACGCAAAGTATGTAATTTTCTAACTTGTATTCTACAAAATGTGAATTATCCAGCTATTTACCCTGTTCGCATGGTTGTTCGGTAAATTGCATTCACCTCCCAAATTGATAGTATTCTGTTCGACAACCGAACAAATCATCGAACGCCAGACCAACCATATGTGAAGTGTGCTGCTTGTTGACCCGTGATTCATGACAATAAAAATATTGTTAAAAAATAAAAAAATAAGCTATTTTTAAAATGTAGCGATTGAATGAGGAGACGTGATCATAGACAACAGGACAAGGTATATGTGCTTCAAGGAAGAATGAGCATTTCAGAAGGAAATGCACGTTTTTATTCTGCAAAGAATGCACTTTGCACTTGAATTATTTCACAAGGCGACATGATCTTTCTGTACACATGCTGGAATACACATAATTAGAGCAGGTGGTGCCAACTACATGAGTCAATGATATTGTCCTTCTAACTTGCTTTCCTCTGGCTGATGTGCTTCACGACTTATTCTGTGATCTTTGCTCTTACTTCTGGACTCCAAACTTGTGTCTGTTCAAAACTGAAAGAAACAAGGGTTTACAGTAAGCATGGTCAATTGTCTCATGGTACCCATTGGTATTCCTTTACCTTATTTGGGCCCATTTTTACCCCTGATAAACCAGCCTGTTATTTTTGCACTAGTGTGCTGTGTTATATCTTTTCCTTGTCTCATGATCACAAAAACCATACATACAACATTCTACATACCAAATTCTTTGCCAGGAATAGGTCTGTCTCTCCACTGGAAAGTTCCCCAACGTGGAGAACTTTGTAGATATTGAGCTGTAAGGCAAGGGTCATACCAGACTGTTTCCCGTAGATGTTGAGAGCTGGCTGTAAGAGTCACATAAACATTTATGTAATTAATGTACTCTGGACATACTTAAAAAGGATACCATATGCATCAAAACCAATGACTTTTGTTTTATTTTATGCAGCCATAGCCACATCTCCCCTGGCTATGACTGATACACCCTACATGAAAAATTATTAGGTTTACTTTTCAATCAGGTGTTAACTTGCTTTAGAAGTTTTCATCTCCTGCTCTACAAATTGAACTTTAATCACACACAGAAGGATGCTGCAGGGTCTAGCAAGCTATTAATTGAGCAGCAGGTAAGAAATTCTAAATTAAACAGAATTTGCAATAAAGTTGAAACATTAGATGACTCTTTACAGGAAGTGTTTAGGAAGTCTGTGTAAGTCACGTGCAGGGAGGTGTGACTAGAGCTGCATAAACAAAATTTTAACTCCTAAATGGCACATAATTGAATAGTGAGACTGCAGGGGCATGATCTATGCACCAAACTACTTCAATAAGCTAAAGTTGTTTTGGTGACTGTAGTGTCTATTAAATCAGTACTTGTCATGTAACACAGTGGAACCTCGGAACTCAAACTTAATCCATTCCAGAAGGTTGTTTGAGTTCTGATTCATTCGAGAACCGAATCAGCATTTTCCATAGGAATGCATGTAAATTTGATGTATTCGTTCCAGACCCCCCAAATTACAGCATTTTACATTGTAAACGGGACCACTGTTCATACACACAATGCACACACATAGCTGACCTAGTACACACACTGCACACGTGCCTGTCTGGCTCCAGCACTTCCTGCTTTGGGGAAGGTGCGCTGACCAGTGTCCACAGGGATCCTCCTGCTCAGGGTCTCCTGCAGAAGCAGTAAGTACACGGAGAAGCCCAGCAAGATGGTCCTGGGCCACATGTTGCCTCTTGATGATAAGTTCCCAGTGAGAGCGATCAGGTATTTACCAAGTGAAGGTGTATTGTGCCTCCACTGAGGATGGTCTGCCCATCTCTGCCAGCAGGGAGCACAGGGGGGCTGCTGCACCTGGGTACCGGGCTGTCCTGGGAGCTGCTGGTGGGTATATGGGTGTCCTTGCTCCCACTGGATGCTACTATAGTGCCCTGTGTGCTGGAGGGCTGCCCTGGGTGGTGTATGTAGATAGAGGGATGTCCTGAGTGCTGCTGCTATAGGTGGATGGAGCAAGGTAGGTACCTGTAGCGGAATGAACCGTTAGACGTTACACTTTATTTCTTCTATGGGCTGTCCGTATCTTCCACCCTGTTATTTCGTATGTTTTTACTAATATATCGTGTGGGGGACAGTTTACCCTGTCCCTGGATTATCCAGCTATTTACCCTGTTCGCATGGTTGTTCGGTAAATTGCATTCACCTCCCAAATTGATAGTATTCTGTTCGACAACCGAACAAATCATCGAATGCCAGACCAACCATATGTGAAGTGTGCTGCTTGTTGACCCCAGTAACCTCGATTAACACCTCCATAAACCGCAATAACACTAACATTCTAAGCGGTTGGCTGGGTGGCCGCTGTTCATATGTGCGAACACGTGGCGCCAGCCATCTTTAACCATGAACAGAGACAGCGGTGTTTGGTCGTCGAGTTTATGGAACTAAAATCAGACACTCAGCGGCGCGAACACCGCTGGGACTTCCACCTCCAGTTATGTTCGGCGGAATCCATACAGAGTGGCGTTCGGGGGGGGAGCATACTCCCGAATAAGATACATGAGATGAGCTTATGCTAACAGTTCATTTGTTAGTTTTAGTATGTTTTGTACTCCCGAAAGAGACCGACTGCACAGCCTGAATTCATGGAACCCTTTTGGGCAGGTTCCTCGTGTGCGGTCGGTCTAAACTATACCCGGGTGGCATTTCGGCTGCGTTCGTGGGATCTTATCGCTTTTTGGATATGCTGGGCACTTAGATCTGGGGTATCTGGGGATATTGTACTTGATGGGGTACCTTGTTGTTAGCTGTGTATTTTGGGGTGTTATTACTGTATATGTCCTGGACCTGAGAGTTAATATAATTATGTTGTGTATTTTGTCTCAATCTACTCTCAGGTCCAGTGGGGAATGCCCCTGGAATATGTATCAGGCAAACCCTTGCATGGGGATTCACATAAAAGGCAGTGTGTGGCTCCATTAAAACCAGCTATACCCCCAGAGCTGAGGGTCGTCCAGTTGCTGGGGATGATGTGGGAGATTCCTGGATTATTTTACTGTGTTTGGCTGTTCCATTGGCGTGTTATACTTGTTCCAGAGTATATTTTGGAGGAACCAGCGGAGGAGAGTCCATGCTAGGACAAGGTCAGTAGAACACACTCATCCTGTAACAGCTGGGCGAGAGAAACTTCCAAACTTACTTTTCAGCCACATCTTAACTCCATGAGAGAGCTGGCTGGCGGGGTCACATGGCCCCAGTGAGCGGCTCTTTGATGTTTGGGTATCGAGACATTTTTTACTCTAAATTTTAGTTTGAATACCGAATGTTCCGAGGTTCCACAGTATTTGAATGTTAAATGTTTGATATTTGAAAATATTAGCTCATTGTGCACATAACAAATATAACATAAAGAGACTATGTTTACTTTAAAGCAGCTCTGTCTGAATGCTAAACTAACCTACAATCTGTTCCTTTTATCTTAATTACTCCTAATCTCTTTTTCCTTTCTTCTTTTTGGATAATTTTCTATTAACATACATAAGGCAATGTACTGCTTTCCCTTATGTATTTTTCTCTGCTTGACAAAACTTGACAAAAGGCAAGCTACCTCTGTCAAGTTTTATCGCTAGCAATGGCTGGGGGATAAAGAAATTATTTTGCTCATTACTAGACAATACCCATGGATCCTCCATAGAAAACAGTGCTGTACTCTTGCGCAAGCGTGAGATTACTGCACTGATGTGGACTCCTGGAGATGAAGCGTCGGGAGCTGAAAGAAGATGGTGGCGTCCGCAGAGGTCAGCATCAGGTAAGTATAGCTACTCTCTGCCGCACCCCCGGGTCCCAACATAGCCAGTGGCGATGTCGCCTTTGGAGAATATGCAAAAACCTCAGAAGGTGACAGAGCAGCTTTAATTATAGGGAAAAAAACAAACAAACTGAGCAGAGATTTAAAGTACCCTGTTTGGATATTCTGCCAGGAATATTAACAAAGCTAGTAGTTGTTCATAATGTACAGTAAATTTAAAGTGAATTTCAAATTTTAGGTTAATATGCAGTTATTTCAGCCTAAAAATGTGAAATTGAGTTTGAATTCCTGACATTTTACACTTGTGGTCCTGAAACGTAACAGCCCAGGTAAGAGGGGGGGATAGGGTTTTTATAGGACAAACTCCTCCCTACAAATAGAGGCCTTTGGCCTTAAACCGTATGCATAATCTTGTCTGACTTGACATTCCGCTATGAAAAACGTCAACTGGGTAGCTACACCTCAAGTAGTGCAGAATATAATTCTGTATGATCACAAAAATCAGGCCAAACGCTTTGGTCATAAAAATCTTTGCAGGTTATCCACTAAACTCCAATTTGTAGCTAAATAAAATCAGAATTGCCAAACATAGGCAACAATAGCTAATTTGGAATAATTCTAAATTTGGAGTTTTGTGGAAACCCCTCCCCTCCCCCCTCCTTCCAACCACTTGTTTCACAGTTAACACTATGAAATACCAAGAATAAATCCCATCATTAATAAAATTGCTACTTATTCACCAGCTGTGAACTATGCAACTATGTACATATCAGCTAGGCCTACCCTCCGATAGGCCTGGATTTGGCCAATTCAGGACTCCTGTCCTGCTGTCCTGGGTTTCATTTTTGGTGTCCTGATTCTGGCGACACCAGAAACAAGTCCCCAATAAACTCAGCTTGAGCACGTCACTAGACGTATTTGCAATGTATATGGAGAAGCCTCAGTACGGCAGGAAGTGCAGCTATTAGTCAGTCTGGCGTAAATGTTGACTAGTTCCATTTGGGGGCAGGACAACTCACCGTGGCACCATTTACACGCCTCCTATTGGCCCACTATTGACCTAGTATTTTCACTAAAGCCCCTCCTATCTGCATTCCAGCAAAAGCAAACATTTCTCTTTGTTGGCAATTTGAAATATTATTTTTAAATAATATCTACGTACCATGGGGTAGAGCCTCCCGTTCTCTCTGACTGTGTCCCTGTTTCCACTTTTCATAAGTCTCCCGGTTCTTTCCTGTGTACAATAGTTGTGTTTTAACATCCACGCCCATTGGTCCAGAATGAGTCCGGACTGCTTGATGCAAGGTGGGGCAAGAGTATCCATGAAGGAATGAAAGATTTCCACTGCAACCAGATGGAAAAAAAAATATCAAAAAATCATAAGGCTACTATGGGGGTACGTGTACTTCCTGCCATCTCTATAGTTAGCAGAAAGCCAGACATTATATTATATAAAATATTCTCTCACGCAGATCTTTTCTCTCTTACTTAATAAAACAAGCATCGTCATTAAGCATTATGTAGACACGTATAAATAAAACATATCATTGCATGTCGCACATGCGCTGACTGGATATAATTATACCTCCCACTATTATAAGACAGTCCATTATTATTAACCTAACCACAATGCGAAGAGATTAGAACGCTTGATTCAAATAAAATCTTTACTGACAGGTATTAGACTTAAGTGCAATATAAGTATAAACAAAATAGCAGTGAACAAAATAATGCGGTAAATAATAATTTTCTAACAATTATATTAGCACTAAAAGAACTTTAGCTTAATGAAGCAGTTTTGGTGTATAGATCATGCCTTTAAAATCTCACTGTTCAACTCACTGTCACTTTTTTTCAGTTTATGCTGCACTAACCAGTGCCGTCTTTAATATTGATTTGACCCCAGGCAAACAATTGCTTTGGGCCCCCCTGAGCCCCATAATGTTAGCGTTTTACTAAAGGGGTCTGTTTGTATGCAATGTTTGTATTTGCATGTAGGGATGTGTTTGGATGTAGTATTGTGTTTTAAATGCAGATGTACATTTCTGTGTAGTATTGTTATATGAGTGAAGGGGTGTGTTTGTATTTAATTTTGGAGTTTGAATTCAGGGGTGTCTTTGTATGAAATGTTTGTGTTTGCATGTTGTGTTTGATTGCTGGGATGTATGGACATAAATAAATACTAACACAGATATACATACACATTAACACAGAGATATACACACAATCACTATGATGCGTGCACACATCTTGACACACAGATACACACACTGACACAAACACACTGGCATATGCACACATACCTAGCACGTCCACACACACTCACGCATACAAACACTAGCACATCCACACACAGAGATACACACTGACAAAGATACGTACACACTCAGATACACACAATGGTGCATCTGTGTGCAGTGCTGGAATGCTGAGATTTATGCATTGCCACATACACACAGATGCCCACTTAGGCAAACACTGAGATACACACAGGAACACAGTTACACAGTTACTCATGCAGTGGTGTATTTGTGTGCAGTGGTATATTTATGTGCAGTGTTGGCATTATAATGCTGTGCTGTACGTATTGCCACATGCATAGATACACACTGACACAAATACACGTACAGATACACAGATATGCAGCTACACATACAGCCAGATATACACACACAGTCAGAGACACACACACTGACACACACGGCCAGATACACATAGTCATATACACACGCTGACACAACCCTCAGCCAGATACACACACAGCCAGATACACATAAAGTCATATACTGTACACACACTGAAACAAACTCAGTCAGATACACACACTGACACAAACTCAGTCAGTTACACACACAGCCAGATATACAGACTGACATGCAAGCCAGACACACACAAACACACAGCCAGGTACACAACATATATAATAATCAGTCTACATATTAGATCCACCCTTCTTACCTTTTGGATACAGAAGGGTGGATTCCCTGGGGTCCAGTGGGAGCTGGTTGCCCAAGACTGATGGGAGTCTGGGGAACCAGGCTTTCTCAGTCACTCTCCACTTATTCCTCCTCTGTGTGTGCCTCACACTCAAAAGTCAGATACAGGGCCCTCTCCTCCTTCTCTTCCTGTGTGTACCTCCTCCTTCCCACATGCTCTCTGTTACTTGGGAGAACTTCACTTCCTCCCAGCAGACCTCGTGGAACAAACAGAATGATAGGGTCCCTGTCCAGAGCACTAGTAAAGGGCTGGGACCCCTGATTACTTCAGGTGTGGCTGCCCACCGGGACATTTCTCAGCCCCCGTGGGCTTGTTAGTATCTTGTTTGTGGGCAGGGGGCCCTGGGCCCCCCAGAAGTAACTGGGTTTTCCTCTAGTTAAAGACGGCCTTGGCACTTACCACACCTCCCCTAGCTGTGACTGATACAGCCTGCATGAAAACAAAATGGTTTCATTTTCAATCACATGTAACATACTTTAGAAGGTTTTATCTCTTGCTCTGTAAATCTAACTTTAATTACACATAGGAGACTCCTGCAGGGTCTAGCAAGTTATTAACAGAGCAGGAGATAAGAAATTCTAAATTAAACAGAATTTGCAATAAAGGAAATGTAAACATTAGATGACTCTTTACAGGAAGTGTTTAGGAAGGATGTGCAAGTCACATGCAGGGAGGTGTGCCTAGGGCTGCATAGACAAAGTGATTTAACTCTTAAATGAGAACTGAGCAGTGAGACTACAGGAGCATGATCTATACATAAAAACCGCTTCATTAAGCCAAAGTTGTTTTGGTGACCACAGTGTCCCCTTAATCAGACAGTTTGAGAGGGGATGGGGACCATATTCTGATTAAATGGCAACTGGAGGCACTATAACGGCTTCATCTTATTGAAGTGGTTATAGTGTCTGGAGTTCCCTGATGTCATCTTTTAATTCTGCATTAAACCGTTTTTTTAAGTTTTTAGTGCTAAACATCACCAGCAGCCCTTGCCCTCTGTGTGCTGCTTGGGCTACTGAGGAAATGTTGTTACATGCAGATCCCTCTCCAGAGCTCCCACCAAGTTCCACTTCGAGGCAGAGGTAGAACTTGGTGGGGTTCTGTAGAGTAACCAGACAGGACATGTGGCTGCAGTGCTCACTGATTTGAGGAGTAACAGGCAGACAAGAATAAAGTAAAGATAGAGTGAAAAACACCCAGTTCAACGCGAGCTGTCGGCCGCCCTGCATCCCTGTTACCACGGTGTCCAGGAAGTCTCAAAAAATGCAAACCTGGTGTTAACTATTGGAGAAAAAGGTGCTGCTACAATCACTCCACATAGAATATAGTATAATTACAAAAAGCATTAGCTCCTTGACCAGTGCTCCACCATTAGATTATGCATAAAAAATTTTTAAGAAATAAAGCACATATTTATTAAATTTATACTCTGGTATAGACATAAACCATCTTCTTGATAGAAGCTGGATGCTGTTTTGTTTAGCACTAACCTTCCATTCAACCCATATCATATCCTAACCTCCTTTCTAACCCTTACTCACATATTAAACCCCTAGTCTTAAAGGGACACTCCAGATCCCTAAACAACTTTAGCTTGCTAAAAAAACTTTATGTATGATGAGTGTGTCCTACTTTTTTCATTTTGCAAAAAGTGTAGATTTCAGTAGAAATTAACACTTTTATAAATTAAGCTGGTTACACATCCTTTTACGGCCTGGTTTGGTTAGCTCTGTGGAGCTAAACCCAAGAGGCAGCAATTGCCCAGAGAACCTGCCTTGCAAAGACTTCTAACTGAGCTTCATTGGGAAGTCTGTAATTGGATAGCCAAAGGAAGTGTAGTTGGGGTTAGAAGGGGAGGGTTTGAATAGGCATCAGACACGAGAACTGCAAGCTGTGTTTAGATATACCCCTATTGACAAAACGCATGATTAAATACATGCATGTTTTTATTTGGGCATATCTACTAAACAGTTTGTTTGCATTGGAGTGTCCCTTTAAGTCTGCTTATCTCATCACAAAACATTTTGTATGGCAGGTATTTACTGGATATAATCAGCATTACTTCTCACACCTCCCAACATTTCAAATGGACAAATAGGGACACTTTAATTTTAGGGGTGTAAAATTACTAATACTAATAACGATTTTTGCAACTAAAATGTAATTTAGAACAGGAAAACTGTACCTTTTGACACAGACTGATTTCTAAACACATTTATTGCTGTATAAAGACACATTACAGTGAGTATTATTGCTGTGTAGCTCTATTATACACTCAGACACACCAACAATATGGAGCTCTGAGAAAATAGGGACAGGGAGGTTTGGGCCTAAAAGAGGGACTGTCACTTGTAAATAGGGACACTTGGGAGGTAAGCGCTTACCTAAATCCATAGTAAGAATAGACAGGTATCAACTAACTCATGCATTGCATAGTTGCACACTAATGTCTGAACTAGTATCCAGAGAAATAGAACTCTGTGTATTTGAAAGAAGAGACATCAATGAACCACATTTTTATACAATTAGCCCTTAAAGGGCCAATGTCCAATTTGATATAATATCAAACAGGACCTGTCGCTGGTGTCGATTTATTAGTTTGGTAAAATAAATAATAATAAATCTAGATAATAATGTCCCCTGCGGTATTAATTGCATTTTGTTTAAAATATTTCTTACGGTAATTTGACCAATAATTATATATTATCACATAGAGGTACATGCAAACACCGTTATTAATATACATCTCACTCCTTGCGCACCTGTTGTTGGTAGAGGGGAACTCTGACTCCAATGTCCGTCGTGGAATATACTGAATTACCTTAGGGTGCTCCATGCTGAAGGCTGTAAACTTTGGGAAGGGGGCAAATGCAGACCAATGTCTAGCAGCGTGTAAGATAAAGCGATTGTTTTGTCTATACTGTGTGTCATAGCAACAGCTGATCTGTCAAAGGGAGGTAAGAGGAGCAGGGGAGGGGACATTTAATGATTATGTGCACTCAGATAGTAACAAACTACAGTTCTTTTAACCATGTTAACAGAGCATGGAATAAAGAGACACAGACAATTTAAAAAAAATAATAATTATTAAATGTTAGTCAAAGTGAATTTCAAATTCACGGTAAAAATAGTCAGTACCAGTCAGCTATGCTTCTAGTTAACTTTGGCCTCAATTTCAAATTCACTTCAACTTCTCAATTTAGTGAATAGGCCTGTACATATATACATTCTGATCACCCATAGTAGATGTACCCCCAGAAACCATGCATGCAGTCTGTTCTTCAGGTTTTCTTTGGGAATCTTTGACCTGTAGTATAGAGAGGGCTTAAAATTTGAAGTTTTATTTTACTAGCCACGCCGAGAAAGTTATTCATCAATGCAAGCCATAGAATACACTCCAGGGATACATTTCTTCTTGGCAGTGGTAAAATTTCACTTGCCAATGGCTATTGGACAAGTTGAACCCTGGTGCAATTTATTGACAAGTGGGAAAGGCAGCAACGCTGTGGCCAGTGGCGGATCCAGAGCCTCATCTCACCTCATTTAAAGAAATAACCCATGCACAATAACCACTACAGTTCTGTGTAGTGGTTATGGTGCCAGGGGTGCCGGGACCCCCTCCCAGAGTAAGTAGTCAAACCGTTTAAGAACAGTTTGACAACTTACCTCGGGTCTGCTGGGATATGGGACTGTAGTAGGGCATAGGAGCAGTGGTGTGTGTGAGGGGTTCAATGTTTGTGTGAGGTGTAGTGTGTGAATGTGTAGGGTATGGGGAGGCAATGTGTATATGGGGGCTGTGTGTGTGTGTGGGCAGTGTATGTGGGGCTATGTGTGTATAAGGGGCAGTGTGTGCGTGGTGGGCAGTGTATGTGTGGGTTAGTGTGTGTATGTGGGGGGGAATTTGTGTAGGGGGGCAGTGTGTGAATGTGTGGAGAGGAGGGTACGGATGCTTTTTTATAATTTTTTTTTTTTTTTATAAAAATAAATAATTTTACTGAGGGAGGACATTTCTTGATCCCTGGTGGTCCCAGTGGTGAGAGTGAACTCTAGCCTGCAGCTCCAGGGCTAGAGTTCACTCTCGTGTCCGGAGCGTTGCCGTGGTAACCGCAACAATGCTGCATGCTCGCGAGAAAATGACCCGAAGGAGCTGCAGGCTGAGCTCCCAGGTCCTCTCTCCCTCCCTCCGCTGCCAGTACAGTACTCCCCTCCAGTTCTTGAAAGCACATTGCAGGGCTGGCGCTTGGACAGTGTCAGCCCTGCATTAGCAGGCAGGGGAGACAATTGCCTGTTGCCCCCCCATCCGCCAGTGGCTGTGGCCAAGCGCTGTGGAGGGGTCACAGAAAACCTTTAGATGTTTCAGATGCCTTTAAATGTTGAAGTACACAAGCTGTGTTGTGGACAGGTGATGTGTTTACAAATGTCCTTACATTTTTTAATACGATTGCTTGGTCAATCTAGGCATAGATAAATACGATAGGTTTTACTGTAGGTTACATTTCATGCTTGTGCAATTACGAAAAATAAGAAGTTAGTATGGAAGCTGTCTTGTTTACCAGCATAAAAACCTCCAGGAACAAAACTAGTTAAAGGGACACTATAGTTACCTGAACAACTTCAGCTTAATGAGGTTGTTCAGGTGAGAACTATAGCTCCCTGCAGCCTTTCTCATGTAAACACTGTATTTTCTGAGAAAATACAGTGTTTATATTGAAAGCTAGGAACACCTCCAGTTGCAATCACTCAGAGTGAACCAGATTGACTTCGGAGTTGATGGAGGCATAATATGCCTCTATCCACTCAGATCTGCTGTCAGCAGAGCACAGGGCAGCATTGTGCACAGCATCCTGTGATTCAGTATCTCCTCCCTCTGCATGCAGACACTGAAACTTTCCTCACAGAGATTCATTGATTCAATTCATCTCTATGAGGAGATGCTGATTGGCCAGGGCTTTGTTTGAATCATGCTGGCTCTGCCCCTGATCTACCTCCTTGTCAGTCTCAGCCAATCCTATGGGGAAGCACTGTGATTGGATCAGACTACCACATGTCAGCAGACTGCTTGTTTTTCTGAGTCTAACAGCATGCAGAATTACAGCTTCAGGTTTGAATACAGTATGATTTTTACTATATTTATGGAGACATGAGGGGCCCAGGGTGGCTAGATGGTGGTGTTAACACTATAGGGTCAGGAATACATGTTTGTGTTCCTGACCCTATAGTGATCCTTTAAGATTTTTGCTTTTTAAGGGGTTTTGTATGATAGCTTGCAGGACAGCATTGCACCTTTGGCATTCTTTTTTTAATGTAAAGATCACAGGTTCACAAAGCGTAGAGCGGGGTTGACAAAAAGGTAGAGCCCCAGATATTTAAAAACTACAGATTCAATGACGACTTGTAATTCATCTGGTGATCTACTTTCTGGGCATCCCTGGTATATAGTTCATGCCCCTGCAGTCTTGCTGCACAATCCTCTGTCATTTAGACTTATTGCATCTCTACAGAGACTGTTTAGCGTCTTCATGCAGAGCGAGGAGATGTAGAACATTGCAGGACCATATCCAGGAAGCCCCTCTAGTGGTGGGTTACCATGGCAACACGGTGACATTTTAAAGCATTCCGGATGCATGCAAAGCATTATGGGAGGTGCAGTTCTACAACTATGTTTTGGGCACCCCTAGCGTAGAGCTTTAGCAAAGTTCTATGGCACCTGTCAACTTTGTCATTGGCTTTTAAGTTCTTACTTCCTTCCAGCACTGACACATTGGAACCCAACACCCCCTCCCCGCAACACCTGAACAATGAACCAAACATACACGTGTTATGATGCACACACCCTATGAAGGGCACTTAAGACTTCCGGTGAGTAAATTTGCAAGATGGGGACATTGTGTATGAAGACCCAGTGGGAACGAAAGTATATTAAAAATGTAAATCATTAACCCTGTACAAATACCTTGAATGTACAAAGATGATTAAGCAGTTATTCCAGAATTTAAAGGGACACTCCAGGCACCCAGACCACTTCTGCCCATTGGAGTGGTCTGGGTGCAAACTCCCACTACCCTTAACCCTGCACCTGTAATTATTACAGTTTTCATAAACTGCAATAATTACATTGCAGGGTTAACGCCTCCTCTACTAGACAGCCACTTCCGGGATTATAGAGCTAGAGCGTCGCTGGACATCCTTGCGCTATGTGAGGTCCTCCAGCGTCGCTAAAATCCCCATAGGAAAGCATTTTCAATGCAAGGTCTAATGCGCGTGATCGGTCTCCCCCGCCGGCTGACGTGATGAAGGGGAGGCGCAGCGGCAGAGGAAGAAGCAGCAACGAGGGACATCGTTGCTGCCTTTGGTAAGTAACTGAAGGGGTTTTCACCCCTTCAGCAAACGGGGATGGGAGGGAGATGGGACCTGCAGTGCCAGGAAAACGGATTGTGTTCCTGGCACTGGAGAGTCCCTTTAAGCAAATACAGACATTTTACATTCTATTTGTATTTTGTTTATAAAGTTGTATTGTTCATATTGCAATAAAGAGTGCAGTTGTAATACTTAGCAAATATTCCAGCTTGTGAAATATTGCAATTTAAAACAGACACTATAGTCACCAGAACAACTACAGCTTATTGCTTTTGTTCAGAGTAGAATCATTCCCTTCAGGATTTTTCAGAGAAAATGCAGTGTATACATTACAGGCTAGGGATACCTCCACTGACCACGTCTCAGATGGCTACTAGAGGTGCTTCCTGGGGCAGTGCTGCCTAATGTGCAGCACTGCCATTCAGTGTTTCCACCCTCTGCATGCAGACACTGAACTTTCCTCATGAAGATGCATTGATTCAGTGGTTCTCTCAGGAGATCCTGATTGGCCAGGGCTGGGCTTGACTTGTGCTGGCTCTGCCCCTGATCTGCCTCCTTGACAGTCTCAGCCAATCCGATGGGGAAACATTGTGATTGGCTCAGACCACCACGTCTGATGATGGCAGCAGACACAGTCAAACAGGGGCAGAGGGAGCAGCTGCAGGTTTAAATACAAGTGAGACTTTACTATATTGAGAGTGGTTTTAACACTATAGGGTCAGAAATAGAGGTTTGTGTTCCTGACCCTATAATGTTCCTTTAAGGTATATTACTATTTCATTACAGCATCTGTATAAAAGATACATGCTCTATTATCTTCTATTGCTAGTCATGTGTTGTGTTTCCGACAGTATGCTAGACTTTTCTGAAATACAGCCAAGGTACACAAAGAGAGGGGGATAACCCCTAGTGAAAATGGATACAAAACAGGAAAGATGTGTACCTTTAAGGTAGGGAGAGGACTAGTTAGAGCCTGAGACTACTATACCAAAATGTATAAAGTACAGGCTCGTTTAAAAGGACCACAGGGTCCAAAAAACAAGTTTATTGAACGATAAATGATTAATAACGAAAGGTTGGGTGGATAGACTGATTACTGAGTTCATGTGCATAAACCTAATAATAGTGCACGTCTGCGCAAAAAGGGAGGGGGGAAGAGAGTATACAGATGCCACTTTACAATGAGTAGGGAGATAAAAGATATTTGTGAATACTCAAAAACGAATGGTGCAGCCTAATCAATATAAATTTATATATTTTTTTTTTCTCCCTCTCCCCCCCTCTCTCCCAATGAGGGTTCTCAGCAGTGTTCGGCCGGCGCTATAAAGGTATGTGTCTTTAAGTAATCAGGGTACAGCCCTGAAACTGTAACAAAAAGGTAACAAACATCACTGTACTATGTTGTACTATTACATCAAATGATGTGACAACCGGAGGTATAGCTCAAAGGATAGCAAAAATAATAAAGCAAAAGAGAAAATAAATAAACAAGGAATAATAAGTAAAAAAAAAAAAAAAATGAACGAGTAGGGTATGAGATAGCTAAGCTAATACTAGGTGTCTTAAAATGGAAAGACGGCTGTAACATACAAGGTGTCTAACAATCCCCTGGTAATAGTAGAAAAAGCTAGCGCTACGGCTGACACTCCACCCCCGTGCCTTCGAGGTCACCTGAAGCTCACCCAACTATTGATTAGGCTACACTGGCTGCACCATTCGTTTGAGTATTCACAAATATCTTTTATCTCCCTACTCATTGTAAAGTGGCAGCTGTATACTCTCTCCCCCCTCCCTTTTTGCGCAGACGTGCGCTATGATTAGGTTTATGCACATGAACTCAGTAATCAGAGTCTATCCACCCAACCTTCGTTGTTATTAATCATTTATCGTTCAATAAACTTGTTTTTTGGACCCTGTGGTCCTTTTAGACGAGCCTGTACTTTATACATGTGGTAGAGTAGTCTCAGGCTCTAACTAGTCCTCTCCCTACCTTAAAAGGTACACATCTTTCCTGTTTTGTATCCAACAGTATGCTAGTATTTCTAAAATAAAAAGAGCACAATAATGAAATAGTTAAAAAAAAAAAAAAATTCTTCCAGGAAATATACCTCCAACTCCCCACTACCTATGCTGTACACAAATACAGCAGGATTAAGGGTAGTTTGTGCTCCACAAATCCATAGAGTTGCATGGACATTTAAAGAGGTAACCTCTGACAGGTTATGGGCAAAGAATGATGGGGGGGTGCGACAGAACGAGAACCACTAGTCAACATTAAAATAGCTTTGCTTCTCACACTTACTAGGACAGCAATGGGGGAAGATGTTTTGCCAATACCATAGATATGGCTAAAAATAAATAACTACATGAAAAAGGCTGAAATTGAAATATACTTTTCCATACTTTGTTTTCTAAATAATGGATCATAAAAAACTAACTTGGTTTAAAAAAAAACAACAAAAAAAACAAAACAAAAAAAAAAAAAACATAGGACTTGATGCAGGATCAGGAAGTCAGGCTCCAAGTGGGAACATTACAAAAAATGTTTTATATAAAAAAAAATAAAATAAAAAAAACACAACCACCCAAATCCTGGCTCTTGAATCCTATGATCGATCTTTAGAATGCAGAAAAAAAAAAAAAAAATAGAAAATAAATTCACTCTTCAAAGTGAATGCAATGCCACAGATCTCACAGAAGCCATGATGAAAATGGGGCTTTGTAGAGGGTATTATACAAACAGTCACATACACACAAACTGAAACAATAAATAACTCACATTTTCAACACCAAGCATGGGATTATTTTTTTTTTTTTCTTCTTTAAAAACAAAGAATAAAGAGTAGGACCTTTCCCCCATTCTGGGGGTAATAATACAAAACCAACTTGAGAGCACACACAAACTGTCCAATTGGCTGCTGCTCAAACCTCGACGTGGAGGTTACAATGCTGTATAATTAGAGGTGGACATATCAACTAAAGGTTAAGTGCTTTCATTGAACAAACTGAAGGATATCTTGCTCTTCCCACCTCCAAAAAACGCACAAATGTAAAAAAAACAAATTTAAACACAGGGAGCCGATCATTAGAGACTGATCTGAAATCGAGCATTAAATTAACATTAAAAATACAGAATATCTGTAAAATGAAACAAATTGCACTAATATTAACAAGCAACATAGGAATTGCTGACTTTCAAATCAAACATTCATAAAATAAGCCCCTCTGCACACACTACTGCCCTCCCCAACCGAAGATCATAGGAGAAAATGGTAAAATGTTTGTTTTTTGGTTTGATTTCTTTTTTTTAGAAGACTGCAAATTGTACTTTGGGGTAAGAGCCTTCGGGACCACTTTTGCATGCAAGTTTCACAAGTAACCCTCAGTACCACTTAAAAGAGACAGCAATGTCACTGTATAGGAGGAGGACTGAATGATATTTTTTGACAGCTGGAGAGGGCTACACAACATCACACTAGGGGGAAATATCAAAAGATAAGATACATCAGCATTTTTATACACACACTTACAAACAGCTATATAACCAGCGGTTGTGCCATGATCGAGCCATCCAACCCTCCCCACAGCCCACGGTAAAGAGTGGTCCCTTCTCATCCCACCTCTCTCTCCCCCCAAAATATATATATGCGGATATTTATTTATTTTTTTTAATTATTTAATGCCTCCATTTTCTATAAAGTCTTTAATCCTCCTGTATTGAGTCCAGAACAGGAAGAAAGCTGGTTATCAAGAATGGAAACAGTTCAGGGAGGAAAAAGGAAGTGAAGTTATCGTATTCGCGTGAAGAGGTTAAGAACAGAGACGGATTCCTAGGAGAGAAGAAAAAGGGAAAATTAACAACATTTTAAAGAATATACATATGTGCATTACTGTGCTATGCATCTTTATCGCTATTTATGCACATACAGTTGGAATGTCAATTTTTAACTACACATTCCCATTTAAATACCCAAAAAAAGAATCCTTTCAGCACTTGATTGAACTGTAGGGATACTTGGACGAAGGATTTCAGTTAACCCCTTAAGGACCAAACTTATGGAATAAAAGGGAATCATGACATGTCACACGTCATGTGTCCTTAAGGGGTTAAACAGATAATCTCCCCTAAAAGGACACCATTATGTTGGATTCTCCCACCACTTAAAGTTAACCATAAAACCACACACACCAACCCAAATCCATTCTAACAAAAGCAACCAACCTTTGTTGACCGAGTTTTACTAAAAACATTCCAGAATCGTAACGTTTCATCACCAGCTCCTGTAACAATGGCTTCCCCATCAGGAGACATGGCCTATGGGAAGAAACAGAAGATTAATATTGATTTGCTCTTGGCATATACAGAATGTACAGAGCTGCCTAGTACTATGTGGATATCTTGGTCTATTACAGTGGCTGGTTTTCAGAGTATACAGCATGAAAAGTTTAACTTTGGCTTAAGATAAAAAAAACAAAACACTCTATATATATTCTTTTTATTCTGTGCTGCTCCTGCAGCTTCCTCAATGTGAGCATGTCTTGGTTTCATATGTAAATATAATTTCAGAGTCCAGACCAATTCCTGTTGCTTTGCACCACTCCCTGTCACAGGTGCCTAATTCCATGGACCTATTTAACCTTGCACTGCAGAGCTTTAGAAGGAAGGATTTCTTAAGTGGGTTAAGCTCAAAAGAGCAAGCATTGGGTTGCTAGGACACAATCTGCAAAAAATGGGGTTCATTGCAAAAGCCTGCCACAATGCCAATGCATGATCCTATACTGCAACTAAAAGCTAATTTTGTCTAGGTTTCGTTAAATAAAAAATTCTGTGAGCTTTGAAGTTGACATTTAGAGTAAGTGTAAATTAAAGCTAAAAAAACACTTATTTGTGCAGCAAAAGTACTTTCAGCATCTCGCACACAGCGTTCTACAGGAAAGGGGTTAAAAGTCCAGCAGCAGATTTAAAACACAGCGTTACCAAACAATCCTGGAAAGACGTTGCTTGCCTGGAGCCATTTAGGAATGCAGTTTTACAAACTATATTAGTGCAGGCATGCACCCGCCATACTTTTAAAAAGCTAACTTAAGGGGAATTCCAAGTCTAGGTAATCTAATCATTTCAATGGAGTCAGAGATATATATAGATCTATATATATAAAAAAAATTCACTTCTCTGGAATGTACATCACTGAATAAAAACCATTGTGTTAACTCCCTCCCCTCCCCCTCTCCTCCCCATGAGATGCTCAGTATTCTTTTAACCTTGTATATATAAAAAAAATAAAAATATAATAAATAAATTACATCTTGAGTAAGTGTTCTAAATCCTGGGAAGAAACTGTTCCCCTTGAGGAATACTGTACAGACAGGGAGATTTTAGGAGAGTAACTTACCAGATAAAGAACTCGATAGGAATGTCCGGTAAGCTTTGCCACCTGTGTGAGTGATGGATACTTCCACACTAGGATCTGGTTCTGAGAGTAACCGTGCGTGCTTACCTGTTAAAAGGAGAGAGAGAGAGAGAGAGAGAGACAAAACAGAAATGGTTTAAATGTCTAGATATTAGTTCATTAGTAAGGAATATACTCTTCAGTAGTGAACCAACACTCACCAGCTCATTGGCATGTTTAGACCAGGCTAAGTTGCAGACCTGCGAGCCAGTATCTATACACTGCAGGGGCTGGCCAGTAAGTGTGTTCCAGAAGCGGATACAGCGATCAGCAGTGCCCCCACCTGATGCAAGCAGACCGTGTTGATGTGGGGACCATGCTATAGCCTTCACTGCAGCTAGATGTTCTGTATACTGCTGGACGGGGCTCAGGCTAGAGTGATTCCAAACCAGGAGCTAAAGCAGATTACAAGAAACGTTTATACATTAGTCAATCCCTGAAACAAAACGGTAAGCAATTAAAGACCTGATCAAGAACTATTTATTAGTGGTACAAGCTTGTACCTTGTTGTCATTCCCTCCAGAAGCCAGGAGTTGATGATCTGTGGACCACTTCAGCCCACACACTTCTTGCCTGTGACCTTGCAGCCTCCTTTCAGACTGGATAGGTGGGGTACGGATGTCTCGTTGCAGAATCATCCTGTCTCTGCTCCCAGAAGATAGCTGATCAGCATTCCAAGCCAAAGCTCCTATAGTAGTGAAATCCAAGAACAGTTAGGATTGTATGGGGGTTATCTCGGGTGCCTTTTACATGGGCAGGGTAGACAACAAAACATTTAAAATAAACAAGAATTTAATTGACAACAAGATTTTTTACTTAATTCCTTACCCACTCGAGCTGTGTGTCCCTCTAGCGTAGACAACTTCTTCCCAGCTGACGCATCCCAGATCTGAACAAAGCCTTTATGCGTGCCCACAGCCACTAAATTTCCCTGTGTAGATGGATAAATACAGATTTAGGATTGCTCAGTTTTAAGCAGAAATCTAAGAAAAGCCAATCAACCATCAGAAACAACACTAGCTTCCAGTTAATGTTGAAATAAGTTGATGGACGCTATAAAAATCTTGCACAATGCCTCATCGTAAATCCCAAAGATCATGAATCTGTTCACTGGGAGGTCAATGACTGACGTGCTCCGCAACTTCCAGACTTAGCGCTGACACACATTACGGCGCTCCCACAAGACAAACACAGGGACCCAATATGCCCGCAGCAAAATCAGGGAACGCATGTCTATCTTTGTCAAATACTCATTTTGACAGGGTTTGAATTTCACTTAAACTCCAACCCAGGTAAGAGATCTAAAGAGACAAAGTAGGAATGTCGTCTGTATTTCTCCTTCACCTGACGTTCTTAGACTGATGGTGGAGTCCAAGTGTCAATCGTGATGACTACAAGGAACTGGCTGTGTCTACGGAGGATCCTATGGTCTTCTCTATAGATCTCAATTTGGTCACACTCTTGCGCCACTGAAACCGCATAAACTTCAAGGGCCAGACAGCCTGTATGGCCTTTACTACAAAACATTTTCAGCTATTCTTTTACCATACTTTGCATCACTTAAATTTCAACATTACGGAATGTTCAATCCCTAAAGAATTCACGCATGCACATATTACTATCCTGAAACACCCTGACCAAGTGGATTTTGTACCAATACGCAAAAAAAATATAATGTAATCCATCACTCTCATCCATCTCAAAGTTGCCTGCTCATCTCTCTAGACGCGGAATAAGCTTTGATAGAGTACGTTGTGGGTATACACGAGAAGTTTTTGGTAACTCTGGATTCCTGCCAGGTTTCTTAAACAGTTAAACTGTTATACAAATGTTCCTCTGTAATACTTTTTTTTTTTTAAATTTAATTCCTTTGTCATCTCCAATGACTCCGGATAAGGCTGTCCACTTTCCCATGTATTATATGATTTAGCTTTAAAGCCCTTGGTGATAGCCTTCGTAATAATCCAAATATCCTATATCTCCACCATATTCAGCACCTTTGGTCTTTTTGTGGATGACCTAAAGGTGGCATTATCAGACTCCATTCTTCCAGCTCTCAAAGAAACTTTGGTAATGAGCAATTTCACAAAATAAATGTATCCTAATCTCAGACATTACCTATAGGAATACTCCAAGCTGAGGTGACTCACCTACAAACCCTCTCTCGTTTGGAGACATAGCTTTAAATATTTGCAACGGTCATATTGGATAAAATCTATTAATCCTAATCCAGACATGGCTTTATTCCACTTATTCCCAGTAATGATTTTAAATATATAACTGGGTAAAGCTAAAATGTAAGCATCGTATTGTAAGGTTTGGGTTTTGATATTTCTTTGAGAACATAAAAAAAAAAAAAATATTAATGGAAAAACTGAGCATCTATGGTGTTCTTGGAGACAATGAAAATTGGAGGTCACTGTACCATTAGAATCGAGATAAACAAACCAAAGTGAAATAAAAGCAGCTTTGTCACCTTAAACTTACCGTGTGTGTGTGTGTGTGTAATATATATATCTCTACTTTCAATATCTGATCTATTTCTCTTTAAAACAATAGAAAGTAGGGACTGCTTATGTAAGTAGGAAAACAGAAGACATCGTATCCCTCCTTTGTCTAAGGTTTTAAAGAGAAATGGATCAGAAAGTAAGAAAAGAACAGATTCTGAAAGAGGAAAAACATAGGAGAAAGGCAGGTTTGAGGTGACAGACACTTTAACATCAGGTGTTCTGCGGTGTCAAAATATGACCAAATATCAGCCAGATACACAGGCTAGGCAGGAAAAGAGATGGTAGGGTTTGTAAAAACCTAAAAAAGGCTTCCAACAAGAACTTTCGAGCCTCCGTGACAGACATCTAACTGATTTTTGACCACCATGGCATGTGCATTTAACATTTTAAATGTTCCAGAGAACTACTTAGGTGGGCAACGTTTACTTCTCCAACAAGCCTTTCTATAGCCAGCTGGTAGCTGTAGAGTTTTACAAAGTATCTAAAACCCCTGGTTTAGATACACTGTGAATTTATCCGATTAGATGTGACGGTAGTTCAACCAGTCTATTTTTTGTACCATTCTTGATTAGGTTAAGCACTAGACAAGTTGCTGTGGCTCCTAAGACCCAGCCGAAAGGATACCGTATTTAAGAAACATCCATGCCTGCTCATATACTACGTTTGTTTACAGATGTTGCTGCCAGCAGAGAGAGATTCTTTATTCCATGGATCAGTCCAATTCCACACACAAAGCTAGGTTCTATTGTCATGAAACTGCATATTAAGCACAAACTCGGGCCAACCCACAGGAGAATGGTGGAGATGCACTAAATCCTGTGGGTTTTTCCAGGAAACCTAATGACAGAAGGGAAACTGATAAAGCAGCCATCTCAAATGTGATTTGTCAGCTACAGTTATGCAAACTCACAGCAGCCAGTTTCCCAGAAGGCTAAACTAAACTAGAAAACTCGCAGAACCATCAACTGCTGAACACAAAAGGATTATGCAGCTATTCTAATGTTAAATAACTGATACAAACAGATTGGTGCTGAAGTCCTGGGAACCCCATCCGATTCTACTTTGTCTTTGTTTCCCCAATTAGCAAGGAACATCTCAATATCTAGCTGGAGGGGAGGGCGTTTCTAGCGCAATATGTTTTGTTTTTGAAAATGTCTGATCTGTATGTATATTACCATTTGCTTTGGGGACATGGGAGACCTTCCCATAAAGCCATGCTAAGTGGGCATTATTTCTTTAGCTATTTGGGTTGCATCTAGTCATTAATGTAAAGTGAATATGGTTGCCGTCATTAAAAAAAACCAAAAAAAAAAAAACCAAACACACTAAAATGCAGTGAACTGAAAACCAAATTGTGAAATGTTGCAAAATTACTAACTTGGCTACAGTTACAATTTGGAAATCAAATGGTAAAATTTAGATTAAAGGGACAGTATAGGCACCATAACAACGTTTAATGAAGCAGTTTTGATGTACAGATCATGCTCCTGCAGTCAGTTATCTGCCATTTAGATGTCAAATCATGGTTTACACGGCCCTAGTCACACCTCGCTGCATGTCACTTGCACAGCCTTCCTAAACATCTTATGTTAAAACTTCCTTTATAACAGTCTGTTTAATTTAGAATTTCTCATCTCCTCCACAGTTAATAGCCTTCTAGATACTGTAGAAGTTTTCAGGGTGTGTGATTAAAGTTCAATTTACAGAGCAGGATACAAACTTCTAAAGCAATTGGTCTGATTGAAAATGAAATTATTTTCTCTTTGTGCAGGCTGCGCAAGACACAGCCAGGGCAGGTGTGGCTAGGGCTGCATAAACAAGAGTAATTTAACACCTAACTGGATGACAGATTGCAAGGTAAGGATCTATACACCAAAACGGCTTTATTAAGACAGTTGTTTTGATGCCTAGTGTGTCCCTTTAACGGAACACTATAAGCACCCAGGAACAGCAATATTTTCTTTGCAGGGTTAACACAGTGAAGTGTTTCAGAGAGAGCATCTAATTGGCACAGCATGGCAGTTTGTTGTGCATGCATATTGGCATTCCAATGCGAAGGCTGGGATCATTGATCCTGGAAAAGCCACAGACAAGGTGCATGTGTGACCAGGGCACCAAAATGTTTGGAATATAGTTTGTATTCCAAACGCTAGTGTTCCTTACACACACAAAAAAATAACTAATTTATATAGCGGCAGACAATGTTTAGCAAAAACCAAGAATTGTTACTCCCTCTAAAAGGTTTTGTTAAAATGTATTTTTGAACAGATGCACTGTATGCAAATTGCACAGTGAAAGTGGATCTACACTTCTCAGTACAGGTTAGTGGTCACTGCACATTGGCCCTGACTGTACATTTAAGCAAAAATACCAAAAGCTATGCATTGCTCTCACTTACCCTCTCAGACCACCCCACCGAGGTAACAGAATCACCTTCTACAGAGAGGTCACAGAGCCTGGTCACCTAGAGAAACAGAAGATACATATAGATTTAATTTTTGAGTGTACGATAATGAATCCCTGGATCATGGAGCAACAAGACACAGAACTTCTCTCACAAGTGTTACGCATGCACTTAGAGGTAATGCTTCCAAACAAGCTTACTCACCTGGCTGGTACATGCACTCCACAAATATACACAGGTTCCTAGGCCAACACTCAACACATTAAGAGATGACCAGTCCACCAAGTTAAGGTAAAAGTCATCTTGCAATTCAGGTGCATCCAGAACTTTAAAAGGTATCTTGGAAATTTTGCGTGTAGGCTTTCGTGGAGAACGTAGAAGTTTCTGACTAAAAAGGCAAGAGATGATTCAGGTTAGTGGCGGAAACTGGTAATCATGGCATTGGAAGAATACTGAAAACACACTCCATATTTACCTTTTGTTACTCACTGGTGACAGGGAATATGGAGATACTTCATTACCATCATCTGGGCTCGATCGCTTTGAACTTAGAGAATACTATGATGTGGAAAAAAAAAAAATTAAATAATATACTTCATTAACTTTTATAACCATTTAAAATTATCCACCTCCCTCATCCCTTTTTGTTCTGGTGTATATTTGAACCTGGTGACCTCACTTCATGGGTAGAGGTAACCTGGTCTTCTCATCTATTGAGAATGCTTTACTGCTGGGCATTCTCAATGTCAGCTGAAAGGTCAAAAGATGGTTTTAAAAATATGGATAAAAGACCATTCTTGTGTGGAAGTGGAACTTTTGTATTTGTGACAGATGAGCAGGTGGCCGGGGTGCCTTGGTAAACCATTGTTTTGGTATAAACTCCCAGAAACGGTCAGATGCACAAAAGGGACGACACCATAAAGTACCACAGCATGTAATGTTACGTGAAGACTTAACGGAAACTTTTCGTTTGAAAATCCCCCCCCCCCCAATACTATCCCTTTTAAAACCAGAAACACTAAAGAATTACCGTAAACAAGCTCTTTTTCTCTGGTGTGGAAGGCTGAAGACGACGATCCTCTGTCTGGGGGTCTTGCACCTTTTCTATCCCAGCACCCAACAACTCATTCTTAAGAAGTGCAGAATATGCCAATCCATCTGGGAGAAGGAAATGGATCACAACGTGATCAGTATGCAGATCAAGGGAACCACAGGAGTTATAAGAAAGAACTCGAATCCTATACTTATTGGTACAGATGTAAAGACACACAAAAAAAAAAAAAACACGGAGGTTTGGAACAGCTGCACTGCGTCTGTGAGATCTGGCTTCCCCTCACTCATATTGATAAGGGTGGTCACATGAAAATGCAGCTCTTTCAGTTTCCAGACACCATTACACTTATATGTACATATTGTGAATGAAAGGTTCACTTTACTTGGTTTTCAATTCAATAAAAATTCCAGGTACTCTGCGCCCCCATGTGGAGGAAAGTGCACACTGCGTTCTGCAGTTTTAATCTATGGACACCACTGAACAGTTTTATTGAATGAAATAGTAACAAAATGGTAAAATCTTCGATTCAAAATATTAGAACGTAAACAAGCTTACACATTTGAGTAACATACCTTTTCCACTATCTGAAGTAGCATCTTTGGCTTTTCGGTTCTGACTAGGAGACTTTTCATTTTCCTACAGGATGGGGGGAGAAAATACATTTAAATGTTTTCCTTTTTGTATTTCACACATGTACCCGCCTTGTGTGGTTGTGTTAGGGTTTCTGTAATTCAGGCCATGGTACTTTAGTCATCATAAATATCTCTTGCAATCTTATATGTGCTCCCTGTGACCTCCCTCCCCTCCAGAATCCATATAGATTAGTTATATATTCTATCGTTTTACTTAATACCTTTCTTTGGGAAGAGAGCCTCCGTATATTTTAATAAATTCTTATTTACCATGCAAAATGACCTGCTCTACAGTAGTGATCTCTACTGAAAGAAAAAAAAATTTCCCCTTCCCATGTAACAGCACATTTGATTTTTTCTCCCTTTAAAAATTTAGAGGATAACCACAAGGTAACCATGCATTCACTTACAAATGTTCTGCCCCACAGGGAATAAAACCCCAAAACACCCCGTTAATACCGCAGTTCCTCTAACATTCTTTGCACCATAAACAAATCTTTTCTGACCGTATCCTTTTCCAATCTGCAGGGTTACCCTTTTTTCTGTACTTTGTGTCATGAATGCTTCCTGTGAATAGTCATTCAGATATTGACTTATGTGCATTGACTTTGTAGGAGAAACAACAAAGTGCAATGCACATAAAAAGTGCTTTAGAACGCTTAGTTAACATCATGACTGGCTATGGGGGAGAGTTTAAATACTCTACTGCACAGGGAGAAGGAGACACACCTAAAGAGTTATTTTAACACTACACAATGGTTTTTAACGCATTATGCAAAGAGACAAAATTGAGCACATTCAGCACCAACGATTAGTCTGCTAATGCCAGGAGTAGCAGACAGCATGTGCAGAAACAACATCCCGAGCAAAGACATGTATTTCAACGATTTCCTATGGAAACTTACCAAGGTACTCTTATGAGAAAAAAAACTCAACATATTAAAAGTCAACGGTCAGCTCTTTGGTAGACTTTTCCATGTCCCAATTCAGTAGTGTTTAGTGGGGCAAAGGAAACAAGTAAAAATACTTGCCTCTATCAATTCCGTGTTCATGGCGAAACGGTTACCCCATGCTGCACAAGGACAGGGTACATACTCAAAAGACATTTCATAGCGCTGTAAATGTTGATGTACCCATGCATAGACACTTGAAGAGTTTAAGTGGTATTCCCTAGCTAGGTCTGGTAAACTAGACATGCCAAAATAAAAAATAAATACAAAAACAACTTGTCTATTAGATTGTGCAAAAATATACATAGTGACAGGTCACCTTTAAGCAAGGAGTGTTGGCCAGGGTTAAAACAACTTTGTACAAAAACATTCTAAACTGTATATTTATTTCAACACAGCCTCTGCAAATCTGTTTAAAAGGACCACTCTAGGCACCCAGACTAAATATGTTTTTATTTCGGTTTATATTGTCGAGCATTAGTCACATTGAGACTCGCAGGTCTCCGTAAGCCTTTAGGGCACAATAACCAAAATACAACATGTGCATAACTTTTTTATATCGGCCAACCGGGCGCGCAGGCCCACAATTGCGGTGGAACTGCTATGTTTATTAATGGGTTAAGCCTTCCCCCAAAGCCTCTAGTGGCTGTCTCATTGACAGCCACTAGAGGCGCTTGCATGCTTCTCACTGTGATTTTCACAGTGAGAGCACGCCAGCGTCCATAGGAAAGCATTGATAATGCTTTCCTATGCGACCGGCTGAAAGCGCGCGCAGCGCTTGCCGCGCATTCAGCCCAGGAGGAGGATCGGAGGAGGCCGAGAGCTCCCTGCCCAGCGCTGGAAAAAGGTAAGTTTAAACACCTTTCCCCCTTCCAGAGCCGGGCGGGAGGGGGACCCTGAGGGTGGGGGCACCCTCAGGGCACTATAGTGCCAGGAAAACGAGTATGTTTTCCTGGCACTATAGTGGTCCTTTAATGCAGCTAACCCAGAGAATGCCAGGCTTAGCTGTGCTCAGAACACTCCTACAATAAGCAGACCGAAACGTAGTAACTATAGGATTTCATCCCACTGTATTAAAGGAAACAATCCTGTCCCCATAAAAAGTGTCTAAATTAAGTTGTTATGGTGCCAGGAGGCCCTCAGGTGAAAGCTTACCTTAAAGGAACACAAATGTATTCCTGTCCCGCCCTTAACATTATAATCATGGCTTGTATCAAGCATACCACTGTATTATGTACTATTGAATATGCCATACTTTGATGGTTTATTTAACCCCTTAAGGACTGAGCCAAATGTACACGTTGTGAACAAAACATTTGCGCTACATGTCTGTCCAACCGTAGTTCACCTCTTTCATATTAAATGCACCCACACTTATTATATACACAATTTTATTCAGGGGAAACAGGGCTTTCATTAAATATCAAATATTTAGCTATGAAACAATTTAAAGGACCACTACAGTGCCAGGAAAACATGCTTGTGACCTCACTGCAGGAGGTCGGATGTGCCGCAGGGGGGGCTCTCGGGTAAGAAAAAAAAAACCAAATAAATAAAAATCAATAAACAGAGGGCGTACTATTATGCCCGGCGGCGCTTAGAGTCGCTTAAAATAGGGCGTAATAGTACGCCCTCCGGTGTTAAGGGGTTAATCTGTGACAGGTCGCCCTTACCAAAAGCACACCTGTGATGTATATCTCCTATGCTCTTAAAAATAAAGAATAAAAAACTTGAACCAACGCATCTCTATGAAGAAAGTTCAGCATCTCCACGTCCTGACTGCCACTGGAGGTGTCCCTAGTCACTCACTAATGTAAACATTGCCCTTTCAGAGAAAAGGCTGTGTTTACAGCAAAAAGCTTACAGGGACAGGCTATAGACACAAGAACAATAACATGAAGCTATAGTTGTTCCTGGGACCATAGTGTCCCTTTAAAAGGATTAAACCGCTGATCTCCAGGTCCTCCAGGCAGGGGCGCAGCCAATTGGCTAGAGTGGCAAGCTGAGGAATAAGCAGCTCCACATTCATATAATAAAAACCCACACCACTCCTAAAGCCAGTTTACATTTGATTGAAAAATAAACCTTTTTTTAAATGCAGGCGGTATCAGTCACAGCCAGGGAACGTGTGATTTAACACCTAAGTGACAGAATTGAGCAGTGAAACTTCAGAGGAATGATCTATACACCAAAACACCTTCATTAAGCCAAAGTTGTTTTAAAGCCTAGTGTCCCTTTAACATCTGTAGCCAAGTCTACCCACCCCAGAGATTTCAGTAAGAGATGATCAGATCACATAAATCCCTGCTCAGCAGTTTTTATGAGATATGCAGCTACAGACGCAACAGCAGTTATATCTATAAGTAAATGCAAATAAAACCGTCTGCTCGATGCTTCAGACATGTGACAAGAAACACTCCAATATTGATGAGCTCAGTCAATCCCATGCTTTCTGATAGGAAAGCATTCAAGGCTACTCGAATAAGATGGTCGTCATGAGACCATCTGATTTAAATAAAAACAAGTTTTACTCGATTTTGTTGGAAGTGTCTCTAGTAGTGATCAGAGTGACAGCTACCAGAGGCTAGGGAAACATTGCACCCAGAGCACTTGATTGAGTTGAAGTGGTCTGAGTGCCTATAGTGTCCCTTTAAGTATCCATTTAAAATTAAATTCAAAACACTCAAGACACAAAATAGGAACAAGTACACACTTTTGTTAAAACAAGTTTACCAGTTCCTTTCAGGGGACAGACTTGGCAGTAAGATTTCTACGTGGACATTTAATCTAAAAGGATCGCTATAGTGTCAGAAAAACAAAGCGGTTCCCCCTCCCGTGGCACTGAAGGGGTTAAAACCCATTCAGCAGCTTACCTTAATCCAGCGCCGGGCTCCCTCGGCGCTGGTGACCTCTCCTCATCCACTGACGTCAGCGGAGCCGAATGTGCGGCAAGTGCCGTGCGCGCATTCAAAGTGTCCATAGGAAACCATTCGCTCTGCACGATGGAGGCATAATATGCCTCCAGTGTCTCAGATGCGCCTATAGTGTTTGTAAGGAAGACAGCCACTAGAGGCTGGCTTAATCCCCAAATGTAAACACAGCAGTTTCTCTGAAACTGCTATGTTTGCATCTGAAGGGTTAAAACCTGAGGGACCTGGCACCCAGACCACTTCATTGAGCTGAAGTGGTCTGGGTGACTATACAGTGTCCCTTTAAGCACCTTCTAATTTGTTCAAGAAATCACCATCTTGGATGTATGGGTAGCCCTTAATAACATTTATGCATGTTGTTTTGGTTGTCCCCCCCCTGCATATTACAGGAGGAACATTGAGATTGTAGATACAAGTACAGACAGAGTATGATGTCCAAATGATTATTTCTTCATTGATAAAGGAGCAATTCAGGGCAATGTTTCACTGATGTACACCCTAGGAACAGACAGCTCATGCAGTGAATATTCACTTCCAACGCAATCAGAATGGTGGCAGAATTAATCATTTGATGGAAGCCTGCTAGACAAGTTGTGGTGCTGCATCACAGTAGGGTGTGTAGAGAAGTACTAGACTCCATCCCTCCGATTATGTCACAGAGCAATATACAGATTAATAAAAAAATGTTTTGTGCAACCATGGGGGAGGGGAACCCCCCTGCCAAAAACCCAAAACCACAACTTTCTATTGTCCCTTAAATATACACACACACACAGAGCATTTTAGAAACTTTGGATTATTACACAAAGCTCAATCATACCCAGCAACCTTCCAAACAGCTCTCCTTAAGCGTTACTTACATTTATCCGATGGAAATTGATACTCCAGTTGGCGCCAGCTCTGGATGGTATAAATCTATCTCCATGTTTACTTGGAGAAGATATTGGAGAGTTTGATGGGGTAAGTGTTCGTCTAATCTCAGCTACCTGCAAAAGGGGTAAAGAGCAACTATATGTAATCAGCATAAGGAAATATAGTGTTTATTGTACTCAGTGTGAAGACTAACAAGCAAACATGCCTATTATGCACTAAACACCCACAGAGTTATTTGCTGAAGTAGGAATTGTCAGGAGTTTGAAGTGAATGTCCCCATGTAAGACCAAAATAGTCAAACTGGAAGCAGAACTTGTTTTGGCCTTAAATTTAAAATTCACTAAAGTGAGAAATCAAAGGCAATTTAAAATGTATGGCCGAAGTAGCCAAGTTGGCAGCATAGTTGGCTTAGAGAATTTCCCTGGCTCTGCTATTTTGATCTTAAAACTTGAAATTCACACTTAAGTTAATAACCCTGTATGCATTCACAATTCTCCCATTGTTAAATAACCCTGCCAATATTAAAATGCAGTAATAGTTAACTTGTTAGGTTTTACATAAGTTACCCTACTAAAGTATATACCTAAAACACAAGAAAAAAATAAAAAAATTATATATATATATATATATATATATATATATAATTTTTTTATCTCTATCTATATCAAATTAATCACTTCTATGTAGTGTTCAGCAAATATGCAATTCTCATGACATTTAATTGATAAAACAGATGCATTTTGCAGGAAAACAATGAGGTCAATCTAGCCCTACAGAAAATCTATTCCACAAGTGTTCCCATCAAAAACTAAGAAGTTTGAATAATAGGCAACATATGTGTCCTTAATCAGGCATTTAAAGCAATCCCACATGCAATCACAGACTTTTCAATCAGAATGGTAGACAGTGATTGATTCACCTGAACACTATAAAAGTTCTCAAAAACCAACAACATTAAAAGTTTTACCTTTTTTTTTTTTTAACTTCTCGTTACGTTGGGAATAACAGTTTTGTTTAACAAAATATGTTTGGCTTCATTTTTATGATGCAACTTCAGAGGTGATGCTACCAATATCTAACTTTAGTAGACACCACAAAGCTGGCATCATTACAAAATACACATTATATATAACGTTCTAGAAAGGCTACAAAATCACAAATTAAACTAAAAGTAGTTGCTAGACTATAACAAACATCATACAATAACCACAACCAGAGGATTTAATGCAAACATATCCATTAGATCTGCTGGTAAACGCAAATAGTTACCCCTATATTGCAGTCCTGGATGACACTAAACGGCCTGCAAGCTCGTCTCTTCATTCTACTAATGCAAAGTTTCCCACACTATGACCATGTGTGTCTGCAAGCTGACTATCCAGTAGACTCCCAGCATATAAAGCACTTGATGAAGCCCAGGTTGGATTAACAAAGGAGGGTGGGAAACTCAAATGTTAACCTATTGATAACTGGGTGGGGTGGGGAGGAGGTGACTGTGTCCTGGTGGAGGGAGAAAGTCAAAAAAGGAGGGAATAGGGGGGAGGGGGAGCAAATAATTTCCCAAAATAAAGGGGCAGCTGTTTCTTTTAGGTCTGCTGAAAGATCTGCTATCAGTTACTCAATGAAGGCATTCAGAAACCTTTAATGAAAAAATCAGCAAGGCCTTTTTTTTGCGCTACCCATTTCAACATAATAAAAGTAGAAGAAATAGGGAAATATAACTAAAACACTGTTTTAATGTACGTCCAATCAAACCCTGCCTGTAACAACCACTAATAATTAACTACTGGTTTTCTTTCAGGGTTAATTCACAAAAAGATGTAATAAAGAATTATTTATAAGGAAATTCCAAACTTGGGCCACTAATGCCATACTGGAAAAATAGCAGATGAAAGAGAAAAAAAAAACAATACTAAACAAAAAATCTCCAACTTACCTATTTTGCCCTGTAATCTGCCATTCCCATTTAAATTATCCATAATTCTTAATGAATAACTCTGTATATGTTTAAATACATGATCTTGCACCAGTATTATATTGTATTTGTGTATATCAGGACATCATTGAAGACAAGATAATATTCACTTTTTTATTCTTGTTAAAACACATTCTTATAGGGAAATTAAGCACTAAAACCACTACATATTAAGGTACTGCGTAGAAGTGGTCCATTTTCATGGACAACATAAAACGGTAGTGTTTATATTTATCCAATAACACTCCTCTTGAGGTTGTCAGCCACTAAATCTTCTACCTCCATAAAGAGACACTGTAGGCACTATAACCATTTCACTATCCCTATATTCAGTGTTAAAGGAACGCACCGAGCATCAAAACAACTTCACCAAAAAGAAGTTACGTGGCTAAGAGGTCCCTGGAACTTCTTTACCATTAGGGGTTAAACCCCAAAGTAGGCTCTCTCTGCTGTGGTCCATATCTGGGTTTCAGAAAATCAGCTTGAGGAAGCACAGACTGCCGCTGATTGGCTTAGAGTGGTCAGCTGATGGTCTAAATAAATAAGTAGCTCCTTATTCTAAAAAAATTTAAATAAAATGTACGTACTGCTCTAAGAAATTCAGTGGTGCTCCTGTCCAGCGGCAGTCTGTGCTTGCTCACATTGATTTTCTGAAATAAGACGTGGACAGGGACAGCAAGGAACGCCATTGGAGAGCCAACTTTGGGGTTAAGCAGTGCTTTCTTGCCATACCTGCAATGGGCACTGTGACAGGCCGAAGCAGTCAGCTGGCACTCTCAGCCACTCACAGCTGCCTGATGTTATTCAGGATAATGTTTCCCAATTGGCCCAAACAGCACAGAGGGCAAGGACTGCCAAGGATTGTAATTTAGCATTAAAATCGATTTAATGCTGAATGGAAAGGTGGCACCAGGGCACTCTTGACACTATAACTACTTAAATGAGATCAAGCATTTAAAGTGCCTACATTATCCCTTTAAGAGCTTTGATTTTCTAACATCTGGCATCATCACGCACAATGTGAAGGAGTATAAACACAGCTGATGATTCTCAGGACTTGATTTAATGCTTTACTATGCTTGTGGCAACTGCCATGCATGATCCATGTGTTCTCAATGCTTCTCTATAAAAAGCATCCAATTGGATATAAAAAAATAAAAAAATCGTAATAATTGATGACTTCATTGGAAGAGAATCAGCTGATGCACAGAGACTGTCCTATTCCTGGAACAAAGGTATGTTTTGTGACGACATTATTGTTTAAATAAATAAAAAATTTGGAAAGCTCAAGTCTAACAATCCATTTTATTTTTATTTTTTAAATTGTGCTTCTTTAACACAGACTAACACTGAACAGCCTCCAGATAAAAATGTAACTTCAGGTGACTAGATTTAACAATACGCTATTCAGGCATAGCCAATCTTCGGCAATCCAGATGTTTTGGACTACACCTTTGCCAGCTTTATGGGAGATGTAGTCCACAACATTTGGAGTGCCGAAGGTTTCCTATACCTGCCAGCCATATCATGCCAGGCTACATCAACATATCTTCATATTAGTCTCTGTCACTCAATGTTAAAGAAACACTCCAAGCACCCCTCTCCCCCTCAATGTAAGCAAATGGTATACACATATACAGCTACACATAAAGATTAAGTATGCTCCCCATAGCACCTATAGAATGGACGAGCTCTCAATAGAGGCTGTTTCCCTGCGCTGTGTGTACCAGCAAGCCTCATTACTAAGGTTTGGTAAACGACTCCCGATCTCCAGAACTTTACTACAGAGGCTGACAAGAGACACAGCAAGGCATACATGGTACTCTAATATATTCTATGGACGGATGCACATTTTTATTTGTAACGCTAGTGTGTTCCCTCTATAAACCTACATCTCAACATGGAATGTTCTGTTTTGTTTTTTTAGTATCAGCATCTCTATGCAGCTCTGCTGTCCCTAAATGCAAAGGAAACTTAATTTTTGTACAGGACACTGAAAGTTTTAATTGACAAAACTGATTTATACCATTGTGGTTCCTTGAGTCATTAAAAGTAATTAAACCCAATATTACAAAAGTTGCACCTACGCAAGGCATGGTGTTCTCATTCTGGAGATTAATTTGTCGCAGCAGGCGCCTCTCATAATCCTGGTCCATGGTGGATGGAAGATGTGTGTGGAGCAGGCAGAGGGAGGACGATTAACACATTCAGTGGGCATACACCCAGATGGTGCAGAGCTGGGGAGAGAGAGAGAGAGAGATGGTGAGACGACAAGAATGGACATGCCAGGCTAGGAGATGCAAGACCTGAAAATCAAATAGTTTATCAGCTGAGAAAATGCAGCCTGCACATCATCTCCATACTGCGTAGCACCATCATTTTTTTCCCCCTGATTTTGCAGCTGCTCAATATTATCCCACAAATATGCTACTATATCTGCAACTAATTATAATATCTAGGCATAAGCTATTCTCTATTGTTCCTTCTGCATTCCATTTGCAATATAACACTTTGACCAAAATCCTAGCATTTAAGCACGGATATTACAAACCATGGATATATCTGTTTTCAATGTATGCATGGTACAATTGTTTTAGTATTATTTATTACATTGGTACAGGAAAAAAAAAAAAAAAGAGCAATCCGATTAAGCAAATTCTTAATACCAAATATGCTACATTAGAAATGTACTGTTACAATATTAATGTTCCAGATTTATTTTTTAATTGTAAAATGTAAAACTAAGTATGCATCTGACAGCCTAAAAACATTATTAATGTCTCAAAATATTCTGTGTCTAGTAATCTTCTATGTAACATCTTTATACATTGTTCAGACAGATGTATACACGATTTTAGCCACAAATCTGCAATTTTCAGATATTTCAAAGCTTGTGTTTCTTTGCAAAGTCACCAGACAGGATCCTCCTATACAACTGTGTACATTCTGAGTGAGATTTGTTGTGTGTGTAATCTCCGCTACACAATGACAACAATCTGTGGCAGCTCTACCAGAACATGTCAAGGATTATATACAGTATATAAAGTGTAAAGCTAGCACCTAAATTTATTTTGTCTGTCTTCAGCATAACATGAGCTGTGACAGATTTCCACATAACATAAATGACCTGAACACTAGCCATTGCATGTTTGGTTTTTAATAAGGGTGTTTAATTGCCATTTCTGGCAGAGTATATGGTTTCACTACAGGATTCCTTCGACCCTGCACTGGGTTTTGGGGGTGGGGTGGGGGGGGGTTTACAAGGAGATGGAGAGGTGGTTAACATTAGATTTGGATGCAGCAGTATTTGGCAATGGGCTCCATCCACATAAAGTCTGATCAGGAGCTTCTGACATATCAGCAGGGCTGACTGTGTGCCCTGTGGATGTCTCAGGCAATGGAGGAGGAATCTGAATAGGGGTGATGGCAGTATATATAGATATGTATGTATTGGTCTATGGGGGTGATGGCAGTATGTATAGATATGTCTGTATTGGTCTATGTGGGGGGGCTGGCAGTATATATAGATATGTCTGTATTGGTCTATGTGGGGGGCTGGCAGTATATATAGATATGTCTATTGATCTATGTGGGGATGATGGCAGTATATATTGATATGTCTATGTGGGGGGCTGGCAATATATATAGATATGTCTATGTGGGGCTGGCAGTATATATAGATATGTATATGTGGTGGGCTGGCTATATATATATGTCTATGTGGGGGGCTGGCAATATATATAGATATGTCTATGGGGGGGTGATGGCAGTATATATTGATAAGGTCTGTGGGGGCTGGCAGTACATATATAGTCTATGGGGAGTGGGCTGGCAGTATATATTGATATGCTCTATGGGGGCTGGCAGTATATATTGATATGTCTATGGGGGCTGGCAGTACATATTGATATGTCTATATATTGGGGAGGGCTGGCAGTATATATTGATATGTCTATGGGGGCTGGCAGTATATATTGATATGTCTATGTGGGGGCTGGCAGTATATATTGATATGTCTATGTGGGGGCTTTCGGCAGTATATATAGATATATGTCTATGGGGAGGCTGGCAGTACATTGATATGTCTCTGTGGGGCTGGCAGAATATATAGTCTGTGTGAGGGCTGGCAGTATATATTGATGTCTATGTGGGGCTGTGTGGGGGCTGGCAGTATATATTGATATGTCTATGGGGGCTGGCAGTATATATTGATATGTCTATGGGGGCTATGGCAGCTATATATGGCAGTATATATTGATATGTCTATGGGGGCTGCAGTATATATAGATGATGGCAGTACATATTGATATGTTCTGTGGGGCTAGAATATATAGATATGTCTGTGTGAGGGGGCTGGCAGTATATATTGATATGTCTATGTAAATAAGCAGTATATTGTATATACCATGGGGGCTGGCAGTATATATTGATATGTCTATGGGGGCTGGCAGCATATATTGATATGTCTATGGGGGTGATGGCAGTATATTGATATGTCTATGGGGGTCTATGCTGGCAGTATATATTGATATGTTCCGTGGGGGTCTGCGTTATGTGGGGGGGTGGCAGTATATATTGATATGTCTGTGTGAGGGGCTGGCAGTATATATATGATATGCTCCTATGTCTGTGTGGGGGGCTGGCAGTATATATTGATATGTCTATGGGCTGTATATATTGATATGTCTTGGGGGCTGGCAGTATATATTATGTCTATGTCTGGTGGTATATATTGGTCTATGTAATACAGTATATTGATATGTCTGGCAGTAGCTATGGGGGTTGGCATATATAGATATGTCTATGGGGGCTGGCAGTATATATAGATATGTCTATGGGGGGGTCTGGCAGTATATATTGATATGTCTATGGGGCTGTATCAAGGCAGTATATATTGATATGTCTTATAATATGGCAGTATATATTGATATGTCTATGGGGGCTGGCAGTATATATATTGATATGTCTATGGGGCTGGCAGTATATATAGATATGTCTATGGGGCTGGCAGTATATATTGATATGTCTATGTGGGGGCTATGGGGGCTGCAGTATATATTGATATGTCATGGGGCTGCAGTATATATATTGATATGGTCTATGGGGCTTGCAGTATATATTGATATGTCTATGGGGCTGGCAGTATATATATTGATATGTCTAGTTGGGCTGGTATATATATAGATATGTCTATGGGGGGGCTGGCAGTATATATTGATATGTCTATGGGGGGCTGGCAGTATATATTGATATGTCTGGGGCTGGCAGTGTATTGGGGGGCTGGCAGTATATATTGATATGTCTATGGGGGGCTGGCAGTATATATATTGATATGTCTATGGGGGGGGGGGCTGGCAGTATATATATTGATATGTCTATGTGGGGGGCCTGGGACAGGCTGGCAGTGGGTGGAGCTGACAGGCTGCAGTCTAGCTGTATATAATTCCAGCTCCAGGCTCGGTCCCCACTTGCCTGGTCCGGTCTCCCCAGTCCTGGATCTCTCCCACGGTCCCAATATGGCGGAGATGCTGTGTGTGTCTCTCCGATCCCCCTCCTCCCACTTCACTCTAGGGCCTCGCATGGCATGACGGGAGGTGCATTCGACGTCACCTCTTTCGAATCAATACAGGAAGCCGAGTCCACCAACTCGTCTCCATGGCAACAGCCAGGAGTGATGCGCTAGGCTAGGTCCATGGTGACCACAACAGGCTTCCCTAACACACAGTCCATACACAGTATATATGTGTCACTTCTTTACTACACAATACAACAAATGACAAAGTACTAATGTGGGATGGTGGGGCATAGCTCCAAAATCAGGACTTTCTGCTAAATTTTTGTTGGGAAGTATGCAGCATAGCTAAAAATTGGCAAAAAAAATATTTTTGGTTTTATTCACTTAAAGAGAGAATTATGGAGAAATTTTTAAAAGAGAATTGAAATAAAATTCTCCAACCCAGCAATACTTTCCTAATTCACCCACTTCTCCATTTACTACAGCTGGTGACGTTTTACACTTTTTGAGGGTTATTCAGTAAAGTTTGAATTGTAGGCAATTCAAAGTGAATTTAAGGCCCACAATAGTCAATTGGAAGCATAGCGTACTTGGAGAATGTTTCCAGTCTGGGTGTTTTTAATTTGAAATTCACGTTGGATTCCCTACAATTCTCGCTTTAGCGAATAGAAGCATAGAATGTAACGGCAGATAAGAACCGTTTGGCAAATATAGTCTGCCAAATAAATAACCCTGATTTTCTTTTCAATTTGTGGAGTTGGAAATCTGAGCCAATACAAGAGTGTGTCCGCAGAGTTCTGTGAATGCTGGATTGGATGGCTGACAAGGTGCGAAATACGTCCCTTTTATTGATGGCTTCAATTATAGTTTTATGGCAGTCAGTTAGCACCATTACCTATTGAAAGCAGGAATTTTAGGAAAGGTCAGTTCGGTATAGATGCTCAGCTACGCAGGGCTGAAATTTGCTGTCAATCAGCTCTACATAAATACATAGTGCTCATCAAACACTCACTCATCACTGTTCTGACATTTGATCTGGGAGCAAAATAATTAAAGTGACTCATATTTTTCAAATACCTTGTAGATTAAATTTTCTCTCATTTGCGGTGGTCCTAGGGGTAAGCAGAGACGAGTTATACTTACCTGAAGCTCTCCCTCGCAAGCACCATCTTGTTTCTTCAGATCCTGACACCTTATGGCGAGGAGCACGTGGGGGGTTAGTGGCAGTAATGGGGTATAATGGTGATCGTGAGGTATAGGGTCGATAGCGGGGGGTAGTGGCTGTATTTTAATTAAAAAAGAAAACCTATGCTGAAATTTCTTTCCCCTTCCCTGAGACTTGCTTTGAACCAGGGGGGGATCCTGATCCCTAGTCGCCTGGTGGGAGATGTTGTTGTCTTCACCCCATGTGGGGTCAGGGGAACATAGCAGATGCAATAGAAGTATCAGAGTTGGCGAGGGAGATCAAGTAGGGCTTTTTCTCCGGTGATCTCCATGTCGGTTTGGTCCCACTGCAGTACAATGGACTAGACGGCGAGGGCCCACCGGCCATGCCACTCCTCTCCTGCCTGCTGTCCTAAGGCTGTGGCCTTATGGTAAATCCGGCTATGCCTGCTCTGTGCCTGGGAAACGCTAGTGAATGGCTGGGTAATGGACAGCAAGGGGGCTGCTGGACTCTTTCTGCACTGATTCCCTACCCTTCACACCCTATATCAGCGATCAGCAACCTATGGCACTCGAGGCTGCCAGAGACAAATGGGCTCTGGCCTTTTTGGAGTCCCAGTGGAACTTCAGATATCTACTAATGGAAACCAAGCAGTGCTTGCAGGAATCTGCATTGGAGTTGAGCAACCTGCAGCAGCTATTACGGCTCCTGGCCAGCCCAGTCCACCCTGGACCCCAGGGAACCTAATAATACTACTAGATATACAGAAGAAGCCTCGTCCTCATACAAATAATACAAACAGCACACACACACAGTCCTCACAAATACAACACCATGACAATCCACATACAAGAACATACACAAACACACAATGTGACATATCACCCACACACAATACCACAAGCAGCCCCCATGTAGCAGTGAAACTAAGTGGAATGGGCTTTGAAATAGCTAGGAGGCAGGCATACAGGGGGATAAGGTTAAATTGGTTTGATAGGGATAGGGGGTAGGGCCTATAGGAATATAAATAACATACATTTTAAGACAGGGGCCATTTGAACTAATCCTGACTTACTTGTTGTTGTCGTCCCACCTTCCCCCCCCCCCCTTTATGGGTTTTATGTGGGTTTGTCACTTTTGTTCTCGGCTAGTTTTGATGGGGGATGTAGACATATTTGGGCTAGGTAGCAATGGTAGCTGTGAGCTTGGAAGTTTGGCACCAATATTCACTTGGTTGGATTTGGTAGGTTGGAGCCCATCGGTGGCTCTCAACCTGGAGGTAACAGAGGTGTAGGGGTATCTCAGTATACCGCTCTAATGTTAAAACTGTTAGATTTTGTTGCTTGTTGTGGCCTGTGTGTGTTGTATTATGTCATTTTAATATGGTCATTGATTTATGTATTTTAAGTTATGTTATGGGTCATTGTCAGGGGTATAATGGTTTTGGATGTATTTAATGGTATATGTACAGAGTTTGGTCTGTCAATGACACATTGTGTTTTTAAAAAAAAATATATATTCTATAAATTATTAAAACTGTGACATTTACCCACCCGTGTCTTTCAGGGTAAGGGGTAAGTTCAGATAATTTAAGGCACATGCTGAAAAGACTACTATGCGCATGTCATGCACAACCCATATTTATTTATCATACACCAAACCACAAGCTAGCTACTCATGAGCATACACAATATAACCCACATAGCCAACATACTCACAAATGCAACACTACAAAGCAACTGGGGCACCTATAAATAACACAAGCAGAATACGGAAACATACACATCTCAATTTAAAAAAAAATATGACCGGCACGCCAAGGGTCTTCAAGATCTTGTTTTGGCACAGTACTACTAATAGATTGCCTACCTCTGCCCTATACTGATGATGGAACCAGAATGTCCCAGCATCAATACAGAGCAGAACGAAGCTGGGCAATCAGTACAGAGAGTGATCCCAGAAACAAAGTCTGGACCCAAGGGAGGAGGTTTCACTCCAGCTCTCAATGTCAAGGTAAAAACTGACAGTGTAACAATAAATGAGACAATTACAAAATGTTACAGGAGCAATAGGTTGATAAGGACCCTGCTCGAAAGAAGAGGTGGGGTATAAAAAGACAATAGAAAATGCAGCGTGGGTATAGAAAAAAAAGCGACAGGGTGGGGGAAGGTGAGAGTGGAGTGTGGCCCTTTAACCCCTTGAGGACACATGACATGTGTGACCTGTCATGATTCCCTTTTATTCCAAAAGTTTGGTCCTTAAGGGGTTAAAAGATTGAGAGCGATAGGCTTGTGAAATAAAACACAAGAATGTATGTATGAATGGGTGTGTTACTGTGTGTATGTGAATGTGTGTTTGTGTTTATGAGCCTGTGTGTTTGTGTATGTATTTTTCAATCCACTACAAATCACTGTTTAGTGAATAAAACTCTTTGTATTGAGGCAAGAGTCAATGGAGGAAGGGGAGGAGAACAAATGAAAAGGGGTGGGGGGAGAGAGACTTCAACAGATCCTGTCCTGAAATGAGCAGTATGGCAGAAAATACAAATACATCTCAAAGGCCTGTGAACGCAGAGTCTCAGCTGCTGCTGCTGATGTCTCTGCTGATGAAGAGGAGAGGGAAGACAGGGTTAGAGGAAGCCTGGGCGAGGAGAGAGGCCGAGGCTCGGAGGAGGAGGAGAAGAAAAAGCAGGCTCAGGATGTACCAACAAAAGAGTCAACAGCAGATTCTAATGGTAAATGATCAACAGAGAAATAAAGAAACCAATTCTAATAACTGTCTGGTTTAACCCGGTAAGGGCCAAACTTCTAGAATAAAAGGGAATCGTGACATGTCACACATGTCGTGTCCTTAAGGGGTTAAAAGCAATCACTATGCTTGGGATAGGGTTTGCAATGTGTGCTAAATCTCAGGATTTATTAATTAATCAGTGAATTGAAAACAGGGTTACAAAATTTAGGCCAAAGCTGTTTTACTATTCAGTTTTCACTTCAGCATGTTTGAAGTTTATTCACTAAACCAAGAATTGTAAGGATTGCCCTGTTTTAAGTCGAAATATCCGAATTGGAAAAATTCGGCAACTAATAAATGACATTCCCTGTTGGACTCCCAATTTAATGAATAATCTTGTTGGTTTATATGGGGTTCAGGCACCAAACAGTTTATTGTCCTGAAATGAACCGCCTTTTTAGTTCATTATATAGTTAATGCATTAATACAATATATAATAGTTTTAAAGTTAAAGGGACACCATAGGCACCCAGACCATTTATTCTCAATGAAGTGGTCCAGGAGCAGTGTCCCTGTTCTCCTAAAGGGACACTCCAGGCACCAAAACAACTCAATCTAAATTAAAGGACCACTACAGGCACCCAGACCACTTCAGCTTAATGAAGTGGTCTGGGTGCCAGGTCCATCTAGGGTTAACCCTGCCTGCTGTAATCTGAAACTGCTATGTTTACATATGGGTTAATCCAGCCTCTAGTGGCTGTCTCATTGACAGCTAGAGGCGCTTCTCACTGTGATTTTCACAGTGAGAAGACGCCAGTGTCCATAGGAAAGCATTGAGAATGCTTTCCTATGGACTGACTGCGCGCGCGGTTCTTGCCGCACATGCGCATTCAGCCAATTAAGTCGGAAGAAGGAGAGTCCATAGTGCCGAAGGAGCCCGGTGCTGGAGAAAGGTAAGTGTTTAACCCCTTCCTACCCCTAGAGCGGGAGGGGGGCCATGAGGGTGGGGCCTTTGGGGGCCTCCTGGCACCATAACAACTTAATTTAGATTAAGTTGTTTTTGTGCCTGGAGTGTCCCTTTAACCCTGCAATGTAACATTGCAGTGTTAAGTCCACTTCTAGTGCCTGTCCTAAATCTCCCCTCCCCAAATAACTTGTATTTTTATATTATCAGCTGCTACTGTTGAGAGCAAGAGAGATGAGACGCCCCCCACTCGAATCATTCACCGTTCACCAGCACTGGTCGTTTCTGAAGGATTTTGGGACCTGTGATTGGCTTGATCGGTTTCGGATGTCAAAAGATACTTTTGTTTACTTGTGTGACCAACTAAGAAGTCGCCTTCATCGGCCAGGATTGGCTCCTGAAGAGAAAGTGGGCATTGCATTATGTATGCTGGCATGCCCCAATCAGAGCTCTCTGCTGTATGCAAGGTTTGGAATGCGACGCAAGGTCATGTACAAGTGTTTGAAGGAGGTAATGAAAGACCTTTTATCTAATATACAAAACCTCACATTAACAGAGTTATTTATTAAAGTGGACATGTTGAGAATTCAAATGTAGCCAGGGCCGTCTTTAATAACAAATGGACCCTGGGCAAGTGTTTGCTTGGGCCCCCTGGGCCCTGCCGCTCTCGCCCCTCACTCCCTGGTATGCAATCACGGCATCCATCCCAACGCAGTGGCGGTACTAAAGTAGAATGAATTTTATTGGGACCCCCAATTGCAAGGTTGGACTAAAGGTAGAACCCCATCTGTCGTGCAACTCCAACAATGCTTTGACAGCTGGGACTCTACCAATTTCCCATGCTTGCAGGGTTGTATTTAGCACTGAGCCATGTTTGTATGTTTGAATGTAAGCATGTGTTTGTATGGAGTATGTTTGTGTGAATGTGTTTGTATGTGGTACTGGAGTTTGAATGCAAGTGTGCATTTATGTGTAGTGTTTGTTTTTGAATGTAGGAGTGTGCTTGTATGTAGTGTTGACGTTTCAATGCAGGAGTGTGTTTTATATGTAGTGTTGAAGTTTGAATGGAGGGGTGTATTTGTATTTAAAGTTGCGGCTCAGATGCACAGGTACACACTCTGACGCACAAGCAGATACACAGATACATACACTGACTACATACAGATAAACAGGCACATACACTGACAGACACACTGACACAGGTACATATATTGACACACACACAGACACATACACTGGTAGACGTACTGACAGACATACTGACACACAGACACATATACCGACATACTGACACACACACACAGACACATACACTGATCAACATACTGACACACATACACTGACAGAAATACTGACACCCACACACTGACAGATATACTGACACCCACATACACTGAGAAATACTGACACACACACACACAGGCACATACACTGACACACACAGACTGACATACTGGCACACAGACAGATATACTGACACATGCATACACATGCACTAACAGACATACTGACACACACATACTGACACACACAGATATACACACACACATATATACTGACACACAGACAGACATACTGACACACAGACACAGACATACTGACACACATACACTAACACACTAACATACATACACTAACACACACATACACTAACACACAAACACATAAACACACTTTTTTTTTTTTTTTTTAAATGTAATCCCCCCAGCCTCCTTACCTTTTTGGAGTGCTGGGGGGATTCCCCGGGGTCCAGTGGTGCTGTTGACCCCGGCGGGCAGGTGGCCGGTCAGGCAGGAAGGCGGGCGCGCGAGGGAGCACTCACTGCTTCCTCTTCAGCTCCCTGGCGCGCCGCGTAGGGATGCCGGCGCTGGAAGATGACGTCATCTTCCGGCTCCGGTATCAGTGCGGTGCGCGAGGGAGCTGAAGAGGAAGCACTGAGTGCTCCCTCGCGCGCCCGCCTTCCTGCCCGACCGCCACCCGCCCGCCGGGGTCAGCAGGGCCAGCCTCGGGGGGCCCTGGGGTGGCCGCCTCCTGGGCCCCCCAGGGGAAGACGCTGGCCCTGTGGGTGCATACCAGGGTCGCAGCCGCGACCCTGGTATGTACGCCACTGCCCTAAGTGCATGGGCCACCCGGTGGGACGGGGAAAAAAATAAATTGATGAGGGCAGCGGGGCCCACGGGGCAGGTGCCTCGGGCCCCCCAAGAGAAACTGGGCCCGGGGCAGCTGCCCCGTTTGCCCCGCGTTAAAGACGGCCCTGAATGTAGCGGTATAACCCCCACTAGTGGATATGATCTTTGGTTTGGTGATTCTCTCGTACGGTATATGAAATTACAAGATAAAATCCAGTAGTGTGATATTGTAAACAGAAAATGCACAAAAGCTTCAAATTTTCAAGTGTAAGGTGGTATAATCCCTACCTAAGGATATATCTGCTTTGCACTTTCTTCAGCGGCATACATGTACATAAAAGAGAGGACCGTATATGGTGCTCTCTGTAACAGTATACACTGGAATAAAAATGTACTTTCCTAGAGAAATAAAGTTGATCAGTATAGTCAGTGTAGATGGTACTATCCCCAGCATCAGGCGTTCCAGGAAATAGTACTTTTATAAGATGTGCCAGGAACAAAAATAAGATAATTTAAAATAAAAAAAAGTTCAAAATTAAAGTGAATCACAAGTTACAGTAAATTTGGATAAAATTGTGTATGCGAGATTGACAGACTTTCTCGATTCCAACTCTCTGCTAGACCCGCTTCAGTATGGTTTCCGCGCTAAGCACTCTGTGGAAACGGCACTGACCAAAGTATCCAATGATCTACTCGCTGCAAAATCTCGTGGTCACTAATCTATCCTAATTCTCCTTGACCTGTCTGCGGCTTTTGACACTGTTGATCATCAACAGCTTCTTCTCATCCTCCGCAATATCGGTCTACAAGATACTGCTCTCTCCTGGTGCTCCTCCTACCTCTCCCAGCGCTCTTTCAGTGTTTCTTTCTCTGGCTCTGCTTCTTCTCCCCCAACTCCTCTCTGTTGGTGTCCCCCAAGGTTCAGTCCTTGATCCCCTACTGTTCTCCATCTATACTGCCTCCCTTGGTAAACTCATTAGCTCCTTTGGCTTCCAATATCATTTCAATGCAGATGACACGCAAATCTACCTGTCCTCTCCTGATCTCTCCCCGTCCCTCTTGACTAGTGTCTCTGACTGCCTCTCGCCTGTTTCTAACTGGATGGCTGCCCACTTCCTAAAACTAAACTTGACCAAAACTGAAATTCTGGTCTTTCCTCCCTCAAGTGTTGTTACTTCTGTGTCTGTCTCCCTCCAAGTCAACGGTGCTACCATCAGCTCCATAACGCAGGCTCGCTGCCTAGGTGTTCTCTTTGACTCCGACCTCTCCTTCAAGCCTCATGTTCAATCTATCGCCAAATCCTGTCATTTCCATCTCAAAAACATTGCGCGCATCCGCCATAATGAATGCGGCGGCGAGGCTCATCTTCCTGTCCGCCCGCACCTCCCATGCCTCACCCTTCTGTCAGTCCCTACATTGGCTTCCTATAAAATTATAGAGCTCAATTTAAAATTCTGGTTCTTACTTTCAAATCTCTACATAATGCTGCTCCCACCTATTTATCCTCCCTTATACACAAGTATGTCCCGTCTAGGCCCTTACGATCTGCTGAAGACTTACGTCTATCTTCTGTCCGTACTCCCACCTCTGATGCTCGCCTTCAAGATTTCTCGAGGGCTGCACCGTTCCTGTGGAACTCGCTTCCCTCCTCCGTTAGATGCTCACCCAGTCTCCACTCCTTCAAAAAATCATTAAAAACCCACTTCTTCATAAAAGCGTATCAATTAAACTGTTAATAACTCCTGACTGATTCCTCTTCTGCAACTGTCACTAGTCTAATACCATCCTTACCTTTTTGTGTAATTTTACCCCACTCCCTCTAGCATGTCAGCTCAACCCGTCTGGTTACAACTACATGTCTGTTCGTCCACCCATTGTAAAGCGCTGCGGAATTTGACGGTGCTCTATAAATATCATAATAATAATTTGTGCAATACAATGATTTTTTTTTTTTTGATTTTTATTTTATTTTATTTTTTTTCTAGGTATGCCAGGCTGTGGTGACTGTTCTTAAACCTATGTACCTGCTCCCCCCTGACCATTTTGCACTTCGTGAAAAAGCAAGGATTTTCAACGCACGCTGGGGTTTTCCACACTGTGTAGGAGCAATAGGTACACTTCACATACCTCTACCTACTCAGTCAGAGAGGGACGGTGAAGGCTCTCTTGTGCTGCACACAGTGGTGGACGGGCAAGGCCTGTTGTGGGATGTTTGTGCGATCTTTCCCGAGAGCATGAGCAGTGCTTCCATCTTGGAAAATTCTGTCGTCTGGGAGCTGGCACAAGAGGGAAGGCTTCAGAGAGCACCAGAGGACACGTTTTTGAGTGAAGCTCGCAATTACTTCTTATTAGGAGATGCTTCTTACCCACTTCAGGACTGGTTGCTCACGCCGTACCCTCAGAGTAGCAGACAGAGCCAGGTCAGGTTTAACCTCCGACTGGAGCGGGCACGAAGTGTGGCAGAAATTGCTCTTTTGCGTCTACGTGCCAGGTGGCAGTACCTTTTGGCTCCTCCAGATTGCACTTTTCTGCCCACATTGGCATTGGCATGCTGTGTGCTTCACAACATGTGTGAGACTCATGGGCAAAGTTTTGATGCACATTGGTTGGAAGGAGTTGAAACTGGAGGTTCTCCGATCTCCACCTCCCCTGTCTGTTCCACTACTTCTGCAGACAAACATGCAGAACGACTACGAAATGCCATCTGTGGTTACTTTGAAAAAGAAGGTAACAGTAATCTAGTCTGAAAAAAGAAAAAACTATCTCCATCTAAATTGCAAGTTTAATATATATTTAAAAAAAAGCAGGCAGATTATACTTGGCTCCAATGTCGCAATCTGATTACCTCCTGGACTAAGAAAGAATTACAAGTCTATATTCATTATTACAACTGTGCATTAAAAATGCATTCCTTCCATAGTTTGTTTTTGTTTTTGTTTTTTTTTCTGCTGCCTAAAATAGCACAACATACTCAACGGACTTGTAAATTGATACACCATAACCACTTTTTTTTAAAAGGAGAAATAGGGAAATTATAGTCTAATAAACCTGGCTAGTATAAAAATCATGCTACAAGTGTGTTGTGATTAACCTTAGCACTCCCCCCAGTGGTCAAGCTTGCATTTTCATGAGCCAGTGGTTTCTCAAGATATATAGGTTGGCTACAAAAGGCAGCGCAGAGAGAAAAGAGGAAGAGTTTTCATTCAGGCAGCTGGTGACTTGTTAAAAAATAAGGTATTATAAGTTATAAAATTAATATTCCTCAGCGCAGTACAACTGGTATACAACACAAATCAAACATTTTGCAATGTGACCTAAACATTGAGAAAGATACAGGCATGTTCATTCTGGCTTCTACAAGCATTCCTTCCAACATTTCAAATGGACAAAGAGGAACACTTTTTGAGAAACTTTAGGTGACTTTAAAAAAAAATAAAATTTCAATCTTTATTTTGTGTAGGCAGGAGAATACACATGAGTGTGCAGAGTCTTTTTTTTTTTTTTAACTCCTTAAGGACCGCGGATGTACTTAGTACGTCATCAGCAAATATATTACTTACCCGATTGCCCCCGTTCCCCCGCTGACGATCCGTGTTGCTCCTGGTCTGGGGGGAAGGCATGACAGCAAATTAGGCCCTTGCAGGCCATGTGAACGCTCTGAAAGAGGCGGTCACGTGGCCACAATAGGCGTCCATAGTGCTGCCTGCAGGGGACTGCCTAAACTAACATGCAGTCTTCCTGCATCTGTTCAAATGAGAAATTTTTTTTTAAAAAGTCTGCCAAGTACTGTTATACTCGGGAGCCTTTGCTGAACACAAATATTAGTGTTTCAACACAGTAAAACACATCACATCGATGATAGTGAAAGTGATGTTTTTTTGCATTTTTCACACACAAACAGCAAATGGTATCATTGTTGTGATATGTTTTACTGTTTTGAAACAATAATATTTGTGTTCAGCAAAGTCTCCCTAGTATAACAGTACCCCCTATGTACAGGTTTTATAGTGTTTTTGAAAGTCACAGGGTCAAATGTAAGGTTGATTTTCCATTTTTATACATTACAATTTGCCAGATTGGTTATGTTGCCTTTTGAGAGTGTATGGTAGCCCAGGAATGAGAATTACCCCCAAGATTGCATACCGTTTGCAAAAGAAGACAACCCAAGGTATTGAAAATGGGGTATGTTCAGTCTTTTTTAGTAGCCACCTATACACAAACACAGCCAAAATTAGCGTTCATAATTGTTTTCTGCATTTTTAACATACAAATATAAATGCTAACTCTGGCCAGCGTTTGTGACTAAGTGGCTACTAAAAAAAGACTGGACCTACCCCATATTGAATACCCTGGGTTGTCTACTTTAAAAAAATAATAATGTACGTGTGAAGTGTAATACAGAGATTTATGACAGATAACAGTGTTACAATGTCACTACTGATACTTTTTAAAAATATATATTTTGAAACTGCAATGTACTTGTACTTCTAGCCCTCTAACTTGCAAAAAAAAAGCCAAGAAAATGTTAACATTGAGTATTTCTAAACTCAGGACAAAATTTTGAAACTATTTAGCATGGGTGTTTTTTAGCGTTTGTAGATGCGTAACAGTCAGAGTTAGAAAAAGTGTGTTTTTAAAACCTTTTCATCATATTTTATAATTTTTTTCTAGTTATATTATATGATGAAAATATCTTTAAAAAGACCATTTAAGGGTGAGTATATTATATGTAAAAACTGTATATCATATGTGTGGGTACAGTAAATGAGTAAGAGGAAAATTACAACTAAACACAAACACCGTAGAAATGTGAAAACCGCCCTGGTCCTTAACAGTAAGAAAATTGAAAAACGGTCTGGTCACTAAGGGAATTAAATAAAGGGTATAACACAATAAATAACCTGTCAGACTGGTGACAAGACCTAAAATAATTCTGAGTAAACATACTGACAATGTGCTAGTATTAGTGATAGTAAATAAACTGTGCTAGGCAAGCTGATTGAGCTGTAGCTTGTGGCACTGGGGTCATATATACTATTCGAGTGCGAGGCAAATTATGTAGCAATCATGGTGCTGCACTGCATAAATTAAGACATGTGGATGCAAGAAAATGCTGGTTGGGGTTGTGATAGTGCAAGCCATAACTGGTAATCAGTTAGGTGACTTAACACATTTATTGTAGTTTAAAGACACATTACTGTGAGTATTATTGCTGTGGAGCTCTGTTATACACTCAGCCACACCAACAATATGGAGCTCTGAGAAAAGAGGAACAGAGTGATTTGGGCCCATAATAGGGACTATCCATCCTAAATATGGACACTTGGGAGCAGGGCCGGACTGGCCCACCGGGATACCGTGAAAAAATGTGACAGGGGCGGGGCTTAGCATACGGCAGGGCGGAGCTTACTGTGCGGCAGGGGTCTGGCTAACTGCAGCATGGGAAGCAGGAAGGAGTCCCTGCTTCCCCAACAACCAGCCTCCAGGAGCTCCAAGCAGGAGGTAAGAACCAGGTCAGTGTGTCTGTGTTTGACTGCCTGTGACTGTGTGTGTGACTGTCTGCCTGTGTGTGTGTGTGGCTGTCTTCTTGACAGGTCTAGACGAAGTGGGAGTCATGTAGAAAATGCTATTTTGGATGTGAGCAAGTGAGGCACTAGTAAGGTGGTTGGGAAGTAATTAGAAATTAATTTAGATACGTTACCGTGTCAACCATAGAGCTGTAGCTGCAAATTACCTTAACGATTTCCCTCAGTCATGTTAGTGATGGGTAAGGTGGATGATAATAATTATCTGATGGACTGGCTTACTGCCACATTCAAAAACACAATGGCTTCCTACCATAAAACGTGGAGTATTTGGGAAGTGTACAGAAACAAATTCTTTGCTGTTTGATTCCTAGTCGCTCACCCCTCCTCCTTTTTTTTTTTTTTCCTGCCTATTTTGTTTCGAAAAGGACCTGTTTAAATAGTTAGAGCCTGATTAGTTTGTATCTGTGAAATTTCTCCGGCCCTCTGTATTTTCAAAACTATAAGCTGTAGATCTACTGTTTGCTTAAAGTGGTGGTCATTTTCACTACGGCTATATGCTCAGCTAGGGGCAGCAATGCAGTCTTCATTTCCTATCACCCATAGCTGAATAGCAATAGATCCCTGTATAAAGAATATGCTTCGATCATATTTCCATATTATCCTTTTATAATATATTGTTTAATAACAATGACTGATGTAAATTCTCTCACAGCAAGTTCTGGAAATGGCAACTGTTTTGCACGGTATGTGAATGGCACGGTATGTAAGACCTCTTTGTTATATTGCTTTTCACAGTGCTTTTTTATGCAGTCCTTTGCTATCTGTGCTGCTGAAATCATCATATCCAGGGGTTAGATTCTCTGCAAAAGGGACCCATATAACCCCTTTATTATTATTTATTATCATTATCATTATGTTTTCCTCGGTGTGTGTGTGTGCGCGCATCTGCTAGTGAGGGAGCCTCTGTGTGTGTGTGTGTGTG